TCAACGAGACACATGGTGTGAGTGAGATGGGTCTAACATCCCCCTTGAATGGGATCTCTGAGGTTTGTTCTTGTGAAGCGAGGTCACATTAGCAAGTTTCCACGGTCGAGGTAGGCGTTGCTCTTTAAACAATACATTGAGAATTCGGCATACAGGAAAAGCTATAAGGTCGGCGTATTCTCGAAGAAGCCAATTCGGAATCCTGTCAGGCCAACACAATTTACAAGGATTGAGTAGGATATTACTTTCCAGACACCTTTCTTGGATGCTTCCAAGTAGAAACTTGGGAAGATCTTTTTCCAGGGCAAGGCAAGTGATGAGGCGAGACGGACAATACTCCTCAAGAGGCTCGAGGAATGCTTTATTTATAGAGTTCGCAAATTCGCCGCTTAATCGTTTCATCTCTCTTCACCAGGCTTTGGCTTTTTTTTTTTGGCTTTGCAAAGCTTTCTTTCTCGGTTAACCTGATTCCTATACAATTTATATTGTATTGAGTCCGCCCCTTTTTTGTGGAAAGCCTGTTCCCTTTTCTGGATTAAATCTTTCAAGTGCTGCGTTATCCAAGGAACATCGCGTGTGTTCATACGAACTTTTTTCGAACGGATACATACGAATGCCTTTTTCATTTTTTTTTCTTTAACAATTATCATTTTAAACAATTTTTAACAATTTCTGAAAATTTAACTTTAGTAAATTATACATTTACAGACAGGTATAGCGCTGGTCTTCCTTTTTTCCACGTTTACGACCACTTTCAATACTTTGAGATGGTGAGGGGGAGATCAGGTTTACATGATATGTGATCCAGCCCAAAACCTAAAGTTATAATTCTTAAACTCGTCAAGGTACTTAGTTACGTGATCTGATATGTACCGCAGCAATGGTTGTACTCACAGCAGGTTTCATTTTGCAATCGATAACAATTAAAAAGCACATCTCCCTAATGCAAAAGGTAGATTTCCGGCGGTTTTTCGTGTATATCAGCTACGTATTATTCGTATGTATCCGTATGTATGCGTGTGTTACTTGTATGTATATCCGTATGTAGTCCGTTTGTATCCGTATGTTACCCGTATGTTGTCCGTTTGTTATTACCCGTATGTTTTCCGTATTTGTCCGTATGTTGTCCGTGTGTATCCGTATGTTACCCTATGTTGTCCGTACGTTACCCGTATGTTGTCCGTATGTATCGGTATGTCACCCGTATGTTGTCCGTATGTTTTTCGTATGTTGTCCGTATGTTACTTGTATGTACCCTTGTGTATCCGTGAGGCGTTGGTGTGTTACTCAGTGTATGTTACCCGTTTGTGCCCGTGTGTTGTTTTAGTGAAGATCGGCTGCAGCACGGAATTAACAATTCTTTTACTTTTCTCAAACGGTCAGAATAGTAAATAACCGAAGGACCTGCAGAGCACACCGACTGTGAGTCCCTTTTACACATATGTGGGGGATTGACGTTATTTGCCGTCACTACGAAAATCACTATGAGCATATTTGCCAATTCCCACAAACCATTTACAGGAACTTTGGGGGCTCGTACTTGAAGACTATTCAAAGACACTTCATACAAACAAAAGGCGTCGCTTGGGAAACTAAGACAGCAGTTGCTTAAATTTTCTGTTATTTTTATGGAAGACCTACGAACTCACGACTGCTAATGGCTAGTTCCTCTAAACCTTTGGTCTGGAAGAGATTTATTGATGGCATCTTTTCACTGTGAGACATTTCAATGAAACGAGAAGTTTACAATTTGTTGACTTTGCAAACACGTTCCAACCTGCACAATCAAAGTGTACTTGTGAAATGTCATCTGAACGCGCTGCAGTTTTCTTCACACTGAGGTTTTCAAAGGACCTCGCCTTTTAAGGTGGCTGAACACAGGTTTGCGGGCGGTCAGCGGTAACTCGCATGAGCGCGCGTGTTTTTAATTAGACAAACAAACATGGCGGCGAAAAAGCAATGGTACACAGAAGACGATTTCTCAAAATCTACTCATTAAAATTTTGTGATATTTGGCAAAATTGTTACTTTTGTCGTATTTTAGATAATGAAAACTTTAAAATGGAAGTTGAACAGACGAATTTCGTAACACATCTAATAATTACAATACAATTGTACTTATTGATTACCTAAAAGTCCGTCTGTTAAAATTTGATCAAATAAGTTTCAACTGGTAATGATTAGTTATAGTAGGCTCTGTGCAAGTTTATAGGAAAATCTAATGAGCGAATTTTATGTACACTGAAGAAAAGTGAAATTTTAAGGTTGTATTCAGTCATTCATGTTGCCATGGAAACTGCGAAAACGTCAAGTTTTACCTGTCAATCAAAATCTTTCATCAGTATAGTTTTCACTTGCCAAGTTTCAGCTTGTGAGCTGCAACCTTTCTCTTGCCATGATTTGGCTAATGACATATACTCACAAACTGCCAAAACTGTGTTCAACCACCTTAACTCAAAAAATTCTTGACAGTTGCAAACACATTTCAAGCCCAGCGAAACTTTTCAACATGCACACTTCTCGTCTTGCAACCCTTTAAACTGCAAAAAGAGTTTATAAAAGGAGAAGCATTACGTCTTTTAAGGACTAACTCAGTTAGAGAAAACTTTGAAAAAAGGAAACCGCATTTTGAATACAGCCTCTGTCAAAAAGGCTACCCTTTTAACGCTCGTTCAAGAAATACAGACTGAAGTTAAGTTCGCCGGCAGAAAAGAGGATCTTCGCAACAAAACAAAACAAACAAACTGAGAGATTTTGCCGTTTGTTACCACCTCCAACACAATCTGGCCACACCGAATCTCAAAACGATTCTCATGAAACACTGGCACATCATTCAACAGCAACCTAAGCTTAAAAAATTCTTTAACCAGCCACCGATTGTCTCCTACAGCTAGAAGGAAAAAACTCTTCAGGCCACTCTATTCCGCGTGAAAATTCCTTCAATCTCGCAACAATCAAAATCAACGAAGCGATTTTAAACTAGAAGACAATTTGCATACGATCACCTTAACTGACTCCTGAAAACGGAATTCAAGCATCCATGCGTTTATTGCAACACAACCGGGTCAATATATTTTCAGATCTCTTTACCATAATCCTGTTACTGATCATACTTATTACGACTGAACGTAGAAACTGAGAACTCGTAGACTAAATTAAAACCCTGCCCACAGTGTACAGCGTAACTGAGCCAATAAACTAAACGTTACTGATCATTTTCACTCCTTCTAAGCCGCGAAAGTTTATCTAAATCTTGCCAAAGTAGAAGCTAAGGACTCGTAGCCTTTATTATAAGCCCATTAAAGAGTGTAACTTTAAAATGAAATTACATTTGACTCTGATAATTCGGACTTTCAAGGCGCGTATCAGTGATCTACTTTGGTTGGACTTCTGGGATTCACCTCAGTGGGAACAAAACTTACATAATAAAGTAGTGTTTTGAGCTTAAATTAAACACCTGTTTGCATGATCCGAATTCTGACGGAGAGTTCGACTTAAAACGAAACGACTCTTTCCTGAAAAACCAACAGATTTGAAGAGATTCTTGAACAGACAAAACAATGCAAAAACAGCCTAAGAATACCAGGGTGAAATGCGGCACAAATTGAAAGTTACTGTATCGTTTCAAAACAATTCTTTTCAGCCAACGTATACCTGTGGATGTCAATCACGAGAAAATCACTGGATGGCCAAACAAATTTGAACCTAGAACATGGAAATATTAAAAAAAATAGGGCCTCTGACTAGCAATGTCGTAATCAGAGAGGCAAAGAAATTTTGAAATAATACTCACGTTTACTGAAAATGAAGATCAGTGCCCACCAAGACTTACGCTTTAAAAGGCTGACAGTCGAAGGAGTAATTTAACTTCCTCTTACCCAGACGTCTCTCCGACTGGGTTGACAGCAAAGCACGGTGGGATTGTGAAAGATTCCGACCCCCTTCCCTCCGATCTCAGACTCTCCTGTACGAGGCAAGGTTTTTTTTTTGCACCATCGTAGGTAATTGTAATAAGTGCAATGCAAATGAAGTGCCTCATATCTCTCTGTTGTATCTTTAAGACGCTCTTAAAGTTGAACACACACAACGTTAGGTACCGGTTTAGGAGTGATAAAATATAAAATAAATTCAACGTGTGGGTGCGAAACATTGTCAAGAGATTAATCAGGTGACGCGAAGGTAAAACGTTATTTATTTTCTTGTAGGTATAAGAACGTTTGAGATATCGGCATATGTTTCAAACAACAGTTTTACAAAAAATATCAATAACTTCGAAACCCTAGGATATCGGATATCTCAAACGTTCTTATACCTACAAGAAAATAAATCACATTGTCTTAAAGTTCCACCATACTTTATTGAGGACTTCATAGAAATCGGTTGAATCGTTTCTGCCGAAAAACGGGATTAAAAAACATAACCAACGCGCATATAAATAGGTTCGGGCCACCTTCATCGTTTCATCTCTATCCACCAGGCTTTGGGATCTTCTTTCTTCACACCCGTAACTCATACGAACGTTTTTCGTACGGATACATAAGAAAGCCTTTTTAATTCTTTTTTTAACAGTTATCATTTTAAACAATTTCTCAAAATGTAACTTGAGAAAATCGTACATTTATCGACAGGTAGCGCTTGCCTTCCTTTTTTCCATGTGGACGATCACTTTCAATACTTGTCGAAGATGGTGGGATCGGAGGAGGTCAGGTTTACATGATCGAGCGCCAACGCTTAAGTTACAATTTCTTAATTTCGTGAAGTTATCAGTGTCATGTTACCTCGAAGAAACCAATGTTGGGAAGAAATTTTCAACAACATGTATAATAACAATTGTACATGAACACCAGGGATAAAAATCTTGTAATTTCGACAACTTGGGATCCTGAAAATTACCGCATGGCTTGGTATAGAGTGCTAGAAAACCGATGAGCAAAAAATGGACAGTTAATTGTGACAGTTATTTTTATTACTACAAGAAAATTCTAAAAGAACAATATTTTTGTACAAGGTTTTATCAATCGTTAGACAATAAAAAGTTCACAAGTCTGATCGCACTCCAAAGCCTGGGCCTTTCGGTGGCTCGGTCAGGGACGTCAGACCACCAGCAGGTTCACAGCAGAAACGACCACTCCTAAAAGAGACAGTCACAGCCAAAGAAAGAATGAATACAATAATGAATGATGAAGGCTAGTTCTGCCTAACCAAAGTATTGGGCAAATACACGTCCAATCAGCCTTGCCTTCAATTTTATGTTATTGTTATTCTATATTGCTGACACTGATCTACAGTACACCAAGATCCTGTTTCCCCTTGCCTCTGTTTATCCAAGTAGTTCTTGCACTAATTATTAATTTTGCTAGAATACAGTTATTACCTTGGACATACCGTCCCGAGGGGTGCTTTCCTATAAAATTGACTTGGGTGCTCATTTATACCATATACTAGGGGGTAAGACACGGTGCCGCTCAACCTCATCCCTAGGGGCTTTTACCATGGATGGGAGGGGCAGGAAATATCTTTTCTTGCCTCTCCCATGTAGAAAGCACATGCAATTAATTCTCTTTAAAAAGGGAAATGAGTTCAGACCTCCTTGTGGAAGAGTCTGTTTGCCAGTGGTTTGATTGTAGTAAGCAACTTCCTCCTGTAAGCGACCTTTGCATTTTGGGTGGTTGCTTACAAAAGGTTCAACTGTCATATTATTTTACCTGGGTCCTGCTTTTGGAGTTCTTCCAGCAACAAGGTCATCAAGAATCTCCTCTGTGTCCTTCTCACTGAGATCCTCCTATGAAACAACATTAACAATAAATCAAAATATTACATTACAGAGTTGTGCTATGGCAATTTAGTCCATTTTGTTTAGACCTTGCCAGTAACTGGCTATTAAAACATTTGCAGATACAAAATATTTGCTTCTTTACAGAAAAACAAATTACATGCTTTCTGAGAATTAAAATCCAAAAATTCATTTCAAAAAGTTGAGGATTAACTTTTAAAAACTGTTTTAATTTGTTGGTGCCATCTATTTCAATTCCCTCACAGCTTTTGAAAGTGGTTATCTACAGCTGTATTATACTATTGTTATATTATTATTAATTTTGACTCAACTACAGTGTAGGTGACACATTATTAGTGGCTGAATCTGATTCATGTCTAGATCATACACAATGTACATGTACAACTGTGGCTCCTTGACTACATTGAGAGTTATGAAACTTAGGTAGAGAGAATTATTTGCAAGACACTTAATGATACTTACAAAGTAGTTATCATTGATCTGCATCATTGGTGCATTAACGCAGGCTCCTAAGCATTCCACAGAAGTCAGAGTAAACATTCCATCTTTAGTTGTCTCACCCATCTTGATACCTTAAGATAAATGATACATAGTTACAATGTAGTTATCCCAAAAAATTTCTCATTATTATGAGAAAAGAGGGCTCATCACGAGTTCACAACCAACAATTTTGTGTGTTTCATGAGTCACAAAACAAATGGTGTATTTGATCTCTGCTATATGTTTAGGTGATCTCTGTGCGGCTATAAGTTCCCCAGGGACAGTAGTAGGTGAGTCTAAGCGCACTGAAGTGTGAAAATACATTTAAAGACTCAAAAGTGATGTAAAATAAAGCCGCCAGATGCTAGTTAAGATTGTTTGGCCAAATTAATGATTTACTTTCTTCAACTCATCTTCAATGTACATGTACAGTATAGAGGATTTTGACAGTTCATCTTTCACTGAGTGCACATCAATCACAATAAATCACAGACACCACAAATGGTCAACCACCACTTCACGAAAATAAGTTTGCCTTCCCCCCCACTCAATAACTGAAATGCAGATTGGAAGTATTTGCCATAATTACCTAGTTTCTTTCTTATTACATCCACCACCATGTCAGAATCTCTCAGCTGGCAGGGAGTTGTTGTGCAGACTTGAATATGGTATTTTCCAATAGGTTCCCTGAAAGCAGCACAAGTGAAATAATATTGTTTTAGTCAAAAAATATTGAGACAAAACAACTTTAGCTAGCTAAACGTGATTCAGGTGCCATTGTTTCGGTTTTCAAAGCCAGCACTTTTCACTGCTAATGGGCTATAACATTATAGCCTAGTAGTAGCTCAACCAATCAGAACACAGTATTGATGACCACTAGTTGGATTTTACTAATATTATTTACACCCTCTTAAATGACAGAGCCATAATAATATGGGAATACTCACAAGAAAAATAACATACAGCACTTTTTTGTTCAAAAGGCTTGTATTCAACACAACTAACCTGTTAAACATGGTGTAAAAAGTTGTCACTTCATACACTCTCATTCTGGGCATTTCCAGCATATCAGCAACATAATTCATGGCTGATATTGGCAACCACCCTATCAAATGATTTAACGTAATGCAGTCAACTTCAGTTATTGCATACAGCCTCAGGACTGTGAGTTAGTGTCTGTAGTAGTGATAGTCCATAATAATGGGTGCGAGAGGAAGCATCTTTGAAAACATTTGGGTTGGAGGAGAAAAATGTATTCACATTGACAATAACTGTAGAGCAACTAAAGCGTGGAAATATTTGACATGGTTGAGCAGCCATTTTGACTCTTTTAAACGTTCATGTAGTGTTGCACAAAGTGTCCCTTTTTTTGACGACTGATATTAATAATTTTAGATTGCCAAAAGGCGACTTTGAAATAGTACAGTGTAGTAGTGGTACATGTACAGCACATGTAGGATTCGCATGGGATAAAAGGGGTTTACTGTATCATACCATGCTGTCTTTGTGCCAGATCTAGCAGTGGAATAACAGCTGCTGCCTTGTGTCCTATGGGGTAGTTATCCATTATCACTTTAGCTCTCTGAAAACAAAAAAAAATGGAAAATTATAACAACAATAACAACAGAATAGTTCATATTTTGACGAACCACTTAGATCTGTTCATGTGCCTTGTAAATCTGCATGAACACAGCAAAAAGCTCTGCTTACATCACGGCCACCTTGACAAAACCCCATTAACAGCTCCCCCACACACTCTCCCTCATCTACTGTAGATACATTTCCAAACGAAGCCACTTCTGTGTATGCAAACACTTTCATTAAAACCAACTTTGACTTTTCTTTTGCTTTTTAACAAGCTCCAATAAGTAGACATAACAAAGGAAGGAATCAAATTACCAGCAAGATCTAGTACTACAGTACATTTTTTGTCATGATTAATACTGCACAAAGTAGGTAGTATAAAACAACATAAGAGACACTTAATGCAGAAGTGGTTAACAGTTTTACTGTTTTCTGACAAAATACACTGTATGTTAATGAGACCTTTTACTGTATTCATGTATACAAAATTAAATTCAGGTTAAAAGTTTTTAACCTACACGTGGTTTTACTTGCAATTTCCTTTTTCTCCTAGCCCTCGTTCATGAATAATCAGGGCTAGGAGACAAAGGAAATTGAGAATCAACCTGGGTTAAAAAACTTCAAATTAAACTTCAATAAATTATACAGGTACTGTAGAACCTCAGTAACTCCAACTCTGAAGGGAAACGAAAAACAGTCCAAGTTAGTGAGGAATTCAAGTTGTCGGGCTAAATTTCAGTGAAATTTTGATCAAGGGAAAGGAAATTTAGTTCGAATTAGCAGGCAATTCGAGCCATCCGAGTTCGAGTTTAATGAGGTTCTTCTGTATATTATACATCTTAAAGGAAATACTGTATAACCATTGTTTACTGACTTCAAGATTTTCTTGGGTAAGTTCAAATGGAGTGTCTGCATTATTCTCTGGGGTATCCCGGTGCTAGAGACAAAAAAATAATTATGGAAAATTATGTGGATATAAGCCGAATCTCCAGGTCTCCTATGTCACAACAGCAAGTCATGTATACTGTATGAGTTGTTTAATTCAGTTTCCACGTTCATGATCCGCCGTGATTCCTTATGTTGACACTGGAACTAAAACGGCTTTCTCTGATTCACGTACACAGTTTTGAAAGGGATTCTCAACATCAATCGCACCTTTAACTAAACGTACATGTTCCACCGGACTTCCTATTTAAACTTTTGGTTACTGCTAGTATTGAAGATTATTATGCAACAACAACATACCCTCAACAAATCATGCGAAAACTCTCAACAGCGGGAATTGGCCATTTTTAGTTTTCATAAGCAAATGGATGCCACAAACCCTTAAAAGTTGACTCACCACAAACAGTTTGTCAGACATCACAGGAATTGCAGGATGAAAACATCTTGAGTTGGCTGCGCTTGGCTGTTGAACGGTCTGAAATTCGTGTGCCAGTGAGCTAAGATTTTATTCTTTGTAGAAATCAGACAGAATGAATTTCACTAATTCCTCATACATTTATTTGTGCTCTTACCTTTCCAACAGCACGAAAAAAGGAGAAAGATTTTGGCAAAGTTCTCCACTTCGACAACATGGCGTCCGTCGATGTAGGTCTGAGCAGCGACGCTAGTGGTCAGTGGCAACACAACAAAGAAATAACTAGGTTGTGTAATCTGATATGAAATGTCATTATTTACGGTGGGAAGTTAATATTGCCGCTGTGCTTAGGCCTCGTGATGTCTCCTATTGTAACTGTAATTATTTTCTGCAACTAATAAATTCGTAAATCGTGTGACGCCTTTTATGGGTGCCGGCTTCTTCTCCTCCAGATTCATAACGTTGTGGACATACTTGCAACACAGAAGTTCCGTCTGAAAAAGAAGGTACGTGTGATCACGTGGCTTGTGATGTACTGCAAAAGAATTTGTAATATTATGATTATGAAACCAGCAAAGTATAGAATTACCACTTGCTCAAAAAAACTGATGATCTTCGACGTCAGATGTTCACTAGTTACGTAATAGTGCTACCGTCATTTTCAACTCTATGAGATCATCAGAAAAAGTCCACTTGATTCCGTCAATCGAACCAAACGAGCGCCCTAAAGGATGACTGTAAATAAAGATTCTCAAATGCTTTGCTTCAATGCGATAAGTTAATGACTCAGCTCGAGGCCATTCATTGCTTTCAGCCATGTTATGCTTTAATCAGATTTTCAGGTGAAGTCTCTTAAAATGCCTTGGAGCAGTTTAATCTTTCTGTTGCAACAGGATCGGCTTCGCCTAGTGCTCTTTGTCTGAGCTTTTCCAATAATCTTGGAAAAGTGGAAAGGTGGAAAACAACAAAATTTCACTAGGATAAACAGCATGCATGATTACACTTGATGAAAGAACCACTCTCAGCTTCAAGCTATCTTTGCAATTTGCCTAAGCCAAACCTGCCCTTATTTTATATTATCTACTTTCAGAGTTTCGAAAATTAGTGCTAATGCTGCAAAGATTATCTTCACTGGTTGAAAAGCCACCCTCTCGGTTTTCTCTTTACTTAATCTTTACTTAATATAATGGAATAAAATTATTCGTTATTTAGTACTTATTTGCATATTTATTTGTATTGTTATTTTTTTTTTCCCTTCGTATGTTTGTAAATTACTTTTATTTCCCTGTAAAAATCTTATCTACGTCAGTATACGTAACTCTGTGGCAAAATGTTTTTTGGATTAAATGTCTTATGGTCAGTATACAGCGTCCCCACACTGCCTGCCTCGAATAGCTTTTGCTAAAATGTAGGTAGTGTGCATGTAATATGTATTTCTTTTGCGTGTAGTAAAGTTGCTTGCTTGCTTGCATGCTTGCTTGCTTTGACTCACTCACTCGTCTTCTACATGCCGAGTGGCACAAAAAGCCTCTACACGTACACGATTTCGCCCTAGGTAGGAGAATCCTGAATCTGAAATCCAAGAAAATTGTGCTCGCGGAAGCCGGAATCTTCAGGGGCTTTAATGGAATCCGAAATACAGCTAAAGTAATCCGGAATCCCACTAACGATTGAAATGCAGAACACAGCTTCCACTGACAAGGACTGGATTACAGAACCTGGAGTCCGAAATCCACGGGCGTGGAATCCAGAATCCAAGACTCTCTTGGATTCCCTTACATGGGGCAAAACAGACGTTCATCCACCTCTGCCGGGCCCCTTTCACTGTTACCGACGAAACGATGCCAACGTCCCCCAATGATTCATCATCCTCCTCGCCCCCTCTTATTACTAATCTCTGCGGTCCATTTAGGGCTGCTATTGCTCCATCCTCAAGACGTGTCCATTCTATCGTCATTGCCTATAGATAGTCCTCAGACACTCACTGCACTTCTCTAGGATGTTTCTCAGAGTGTATACGTCCTCGGAAATCCTGCCTGGTCTTCTGAAATACACCACTGCTTCCATCGCATAAGCATCAATATCTCTGAATCGTCACCCTTCAGAACAGCTTGATAGGTATTGAGATTAGTATAAAATCTCCTCCCGTGTTCACTCAAGTGGCTAGCGCTCCTCCTTTTCCCATAAATTGATGAACAAAGGATGGAGAATGCCTTGAGGAAAGCTCAGGACTAACCTTGCATGGTCTCTTTCGGCATATGCATGCAAGCTTTGTGCTTCTTGTTCTATGGCTCTTTATGGAACCTGCAGGGTTGGCAGATCTATACTCGTGTCATCACCTCCGAATATCTCGGCCTCTATCTTAGTTTTTCTTAAATGCCAAAAAGAACTCCCTTCCTTAACTCTTACAGGAATGCTTGTACAACTTTTTCCTGCACAAAGTAGTCGCTTGATTGTTTGGACGATTCGCATTTGTTTCTGGATGCTGCTTTTTCCGCTTTCTCTGTCAGATCCTCCATAAACTACCTCTTACCACTAACTTGTTAAGCTCAGCATGTTCAATGTCCAGTCCATTCATCTGGTACATATATTGTGACATTCAGTGTGACCGATCTTATTATACTATTTCCTCAGCTTATTATGATGTAAGGTGTCTAACTAATCTAATCCTTGTTTCATCTTTATCTCCAATGGCTTTCTTACTCGTTGAAAGGTAAGATTCCTTAACATTGTTCCATTTCTCTCAAACTGTTGTTCAGTTACCTTTTTCTGTTGGTTCCGAGTACCTAAAGTCTGTTGCAAATCTCAACAGACCTCTTGATTACCACTTCATTAATTGGTAAAGCGTAGGTTGTACCTTGTTAGCTGGATTGTGCTTACTTCATGGAGCATTAGGGTATAACTCGTGAGTTTAAGAATGGCCTTCACAAGGTGGTGGTCGCTACCTACTTCGCCCCCCTGAAATCATGTACATCAGAATTATATCTGGCTTGCAATTTTTTCATTGGGCGGGGTGACACCCATGTGAGCTTATATTACAAATGCATGGTCTTGTGTGTAGATAGAGTTTCATGCCACCTATGATAAACCTGCTGTTATCCAGCAGATGTCACTGAGCCGCTCTCCATTGTCATTCAATGACGCGCATCGCTGGTTAACCATAACTTGCTACAGAAAGATGTTACTTTCCCAAACCTTAGCATTCCTGTCACCTATAACATTCAAGATATCGCGTGCTTATACCTGAACCACCTCTTCTTTTAACCTCCAGTTGAACGCGTTGTCATCTGAACCGTTAAAACGAACCTAGAAAGTTACGATGTCTGCCCTGATCAACCTTTAATTGACTGGCTGCGACTCAGTCAGGGTCACCCTTAGCCAGTTTGCCATCTTCAGTTGCAACGTGTTCTTGTTAAACAGTGAGGATTGGCGCAAGTTCAGTCCTAGGTTGTTTGTCATCCCTTCCCGTAAACAAAATAATTTCTTCTGTGTCCACGTTATGATCTGTTCAAAGCCTTTCCACCTTAGCTGAGTTTACCCATCCAGAGGATATATATAGAGAGAGCTTGTAGTTCTATATTTCTTGGATGACCTGCATTGTTCTTGAAGTATCAAACATTGTTCGCACGTTCCAACTAACAATCGTAAAACCTGTTTTAACGTCCAATAGACTTGCTCTCACAGCCTGAGCTCCGAGATGGTTTTCACCCATGCCGATCATGCTGGCACTGTAGTGCCTCCAGCCCGCTAGAGCCTAATTTCCTGAGTGAAGTTTTAGTAATATGAGGTTTCCTCTTTAAGGCAGGGTTGTAAACCCTGCGCTAAAAGCCAAACCGTGGAGGACCAGGGTGCCGTTTAGTCTGACTTCTTTGCCGACTTTGTTGAAATTAGCAGGGCATAAAGCTCCCGGCGGCATTTTTTTTATCTCTAATTGGCGTAAGTGCCCGTAAGCCTCTAAGCCTCGTCAAGGCGCAGCACCGAGGTTTTCGTCATTTTTAGTTTTTACTGTAATTACGGATTTATCATCACTATAGTTATTGCCAGCTGAATGTTAACATCATTAGCATTAACGCTGTCATTGCTATTATTATTATCATCATCGTCGTCGTCGTCACTGTACTTGCTCTTAACTTATCATTGTTATCAACGTGATCATCATGTACGTACCTCCACACTCTTATCATTATAGTTTAATTGACACTAATAATAGAGACCTTTAGATTCTAAGACGAGTACGACTACGAGTACGAGATTTTCTCAACACTAAGTAGTGCACGCGCGTGAACCAGCGTCATTTTGGCGGGAAAACGCGGCAGCCGTCGTCATTCTACTACGAGTTTTAGCGCGAATGTCGTGGTGGCGAAAACAAGTTTTCAAATGTTAGAAGTTTTATCATTTTGCGATGGGGAAAGCGCGTAACTTCCTTCACCAAAGGTAACAGTGCTAACTTTTTTAGTGAAAAACGGTAAAATGAAGCTTTTCGGGAAGTCTATATTTTGAGAATACGCGAAGTCAAATCTCGTACTCGTAGTCGTTCTCGTCCTCGAATCTAAAGGTCTCTAATGTAATGTGAAACCTATTTAAGGGATTGCATTATGACGCAGGCACCCTTAGCGCTGACATCAGGGATTTTATGAAGCTGAACGTCAGGAAATCCCTATGCATACCTTTTGTAAATCGAACCTGTATAAAGAGGACCACAGCTAGCGAAGGTCTTCTGTCCGTGTTCGCTTAAGAAGGCTTTCAGGTACTGTTTTTTATGTCGATATCTGTTGACGTTTTCCCCATCTATTGCTTCTTTAGAGACGAATATGGACAACAAGGAGCAGAAGAAGGAAGAATCAACAAGTAATACGAAGACATCGGCTATACATCCTTACGAATCAGCAAACTTTTTCTCTCGTGCAGTTGTTGGCTGGATGAGCTCTATTTTGCAGCTTGGCAGCAAAAGACCTCTGGTAAAAGATGACATTTTCCCTGTTCGCAAGGAAGATAGTATGCAAGTTCTTGTTACCAAGCTGGAAAGTGAGTGGCGACAGGAAATTAAGAGGTGCTTACCAAGTGGCTGTAAGCCTCGGTTGTGGAAAGCATTGGCTCGACTATTCTCATGGAAGGCATACACATTAATGTTGATATTAATTTTATGTCGCCTTCTGTGCATAACTGCCCTACCGATGCTCATGTGGTTTTTTCTGTTGGAATTCGAGAAGGAATCCCAAGATGGCTATTCTAAGACACCATTTCTGTTCGTTACTGGAATCGCGATTTTGGCTTTTTGCCAAATATTTGCCAAGAGCCATGCAGCATCGATGGCAGAGATATGGGGCAATCAACTGAAGGTGTCCTGCATCGGTCTTGTTTACAAGAAAGTAAGTATGAGTTACATTTATTGCTTAAAAGAATTCTTTAGTGCCAGGCACAGAGAGTTATTTATCACACCACTAAACGGGCTATTGAATAGGCGACCCCAAATCTCAGCGCGCTGAGGTGGCAAAGTCGGCGCAATCTTAGCCTCATGTAAGCTAATCCGGATTATCTAGAAATTCCGGAAATTTTTTCTCATGGAATCCGAAATCCTGGTCTTAGAAATTCAGAATTCCACGAATGATTGGAATTTGCAATCCAAGTCTCACTGACAAAATGATCCGGAATCTACCGAGTGTAATCCAGAATCTAAGACCGGCTTGGACACTGTGATTGGGGGACAGTCTGCCGCGAACTTCTTAGTGTGATCCAAGTCTCTTGGAAGTGGTAGAAAAGTGTGATTTGTTTGTTTCCAACAAAGTTCATATACCGTGGTGTAAAATGTTGTGGTTAATTTTTTTATCTCAGTTAATTTTTATTTTTCGATTGTTTTTGCGTATGGTAATGGATGCGAATGAATTTGAAACAAAGGAAATGTAAAAATTAACTGAAATAAAAAATTAACTGCAACATAAATAAACGATGGTAAAGAGTTTTGTTCATTAAGATGTAGATAGATCGTGCGTTAGGCTATGCTCTCACCATACCGGATAGCTTGTGCGCCGGCGTGAAAACCATACCGGATAATGGGCTTCTGCTCACACATAAGAGCGGTGATTTCGGCGCGATTCTGTAAAGAAGCGAAGTTGCGCCGCACTGATCTCTTAATTGGGGAATCACATATCGGTAGGTGATCGTACTATACCGAATGTCATACCGAACAGCACCTGCCTCGTACCCAGAGGTCTCTCTCTCGATAAAAATGTACGCGCAAAGGAATTCGGGAAGGAGGCAACGGGCGAGACGGCGCTTCGCCTGCCGTCTGTTCCCTTTCCATGGTCCCTTGTGGTTCATCACCAGTCGTTCGCCTCTACCTTGCGAAAAACAAAGTGCTTGGAGGGAGGGAGGGAGGCTGGAATAGCACGGCTCTTATCGTGCAACAAAACGCGGTCCATTACAAGCGTTGTTGCGTCCAAAGTATTTTAATCACAGTCTTTCTTCAGCGTCTCATTGTGTATTGTGAAATATAAATTTGTATTTTTTTTTTATTTAATGGTTTTTGGGATGATATTACTCTACTTCAAACGCAGCTTGGCCCGCGCAGAGCATTGTGGGCAAGAAAATGTTACCGTTAATAATACCCGTATCTGTTATTTCGCCTGCTAGAGACCTCTTCCTTTGCTAGCAAGAAATTTGTTCCGCTAAAAAATTTTTGGTTATCAAGAAACCGTTTGAAAAGAAAAGAAATACTGACTCATCTTTTTGCTAATGCAGATTCTGACAAAGCTCAGACGTGGTGATGTTCAGAAGATTATCACAGGAAAAACTATCAACCTTGTAACTAATGACGCTCAGAAACTGGAGCAGCTCGTATTTTCGCTGTGCTATATCCTCCCCGCTCCTCTTTATATTTCGGGTTCATTTTTTGTTCTTTTGTTCCTAATTGGATGGAAAGCTTTAGTCGGAGTTGGAGTTTACATAGTTGCAATGGTATATATTTCGAAAATGTCGCATAAGAACGGAAAGTTACGCCACAAAACAGCTCTAGCCACAGATAAAAGACTAGAAGTTATGAACGAGATCGTCTCTGGAATTCGGACTGTCAAAATGTATGCCTGGGAATGGAAGTTTACAGAAACCATCAAACAGTTAAGAAGGTGCGTTAGTCAAAAATTGCAACCATTGTCATAATCTCTTACTACATGAAAGTTAAGGGAGAAAAAGAGCTTTTTCTTTCCTTCTCTTCCCCCTTATTCACTTTTTTCGCAATTTCCCAATATTCTCAACAAGCGCGCGCGGGAATACCCTGCTGCCCAAGCAACTGACAAAACGAGGAATTTGTTTCTCTTGTTCTAATAAGCTGACTTATGAATTGAACTGCAAGTAAATTCGTCCATATTCGACAAACTGAGTAAGCTATAGTTAGTCAGACCATGGATTCTTTTCATTATTTTTTCAAAATATTTCTCTATTTCTGATTGGCTTATAATTAAATTCCCGGACAATTCTTCACAATCAGCTACCAAAGTTGACAAAACTTGGAAGACTTTTGCCGGTATCCTTTATTCTTTCAAGCCTTTGAGGAATAGAATTATTATTTTTGTCTCTGCCCCTTAAAATTGTGGCAATGTAATTTGCCTCTTCAGAAAAAGAATCTGCAGCACTCCAATTAGCCTGTTCCAGGCTCTCAGATAGTGGGGGAAAACGCGAAAGGAAAAGGCAAGCGAAAAGTTGGCTGTCCATAGTATCTTCTTATTTGTTTTTAACACAGGAAAGAAATGTGGTACATCAGACTTCGAGGAGTGATCATATCCAGTCTGTATTCCATGGCTTACACAGTTTCACCACTGGCTGTTTTCGTCTCTACTGTGGTACTGATAGCAGCAGGACAGCAAATCACTGCCTTCAAATTATTTACCATTGTCACAACCTTCAATGTTGTTAACTTCTCCGTCTCTATTGCTATGGGATTCTTATTACCTCTGGTTACTGAAGCAAACAGTGCCATCAATCGGATCGAGAAATTCTTGTCTGGAACATACACCGAGACAAAGGTCACATTTGCCTCTCAGCATGGCCCATATGGATTCCTTACCTTGAGTCTGAAGGATATAGCAACAGCTGTAAGACAAGAGAACGTCAAAGATGAAAAAGCTAAATTAGTGTCCGTTTTTAGTAAAGAAACTATTCTAGGCGCTGAAACAAAGGATCTGACACTGGTGAGTGTTTCTGCATCTTGGGACAAATCCGAAGAAAGGATGGCCTTGAAGGATATTTCATTGTCTTTGAGCAATGGAGAAATGATGGCAATAACTGGATCAGTTGGAAGTGGAAAGTCGTCCCTTTTAATGGCTATACTTGGCGAACTACCTGCCGTTAATGGAACAATATCGTTCAGTGGAACAATTGCCTACGTCCCACAGATTCCTTGGATTTTCTCGGGAACTATTAGAGAGAACATTTTGTTTGGAAGACCATTTCATGAAGCAACGTACTATAAAATACTTGACGTCTGTTGCATGCAAACGGACTTGAATAACTTCCCGTATGGTGATTTGACAGAAATAGGGAGCCGTGGTGTAAGCTTAAGTGGTGGTCAGCGAGTGCGTGTCAGTTTAGCACGCGCACTGTATTCGGATGCAGACTTGTATCTTTTGGATGATCCTCTTAGTGCAGTGGACTTCAAAGTAGGTAAACGTCTGTTTCAAAGGTGTATTTGTGGATTTCTGTCTGGTAAAACCCGCGTTTTCGTGACGCACCAGTTACACTACTTAACACTTGTAGATAACGTCACCATCTTAAGTAAGGGTAGAATGGTGCTAGAGGATGCCAGTATTCCAAAGGCGGACGCAAATAGCTCGAAATTTGATCAGTGCGATGTAAATAAACCTGACATTTCAAGAGATGATATTCCTGATCAGTCGTTAGAGGTTGTTTTCTCTGATGGGGAAACACAAGATTTGAAGGAAGACGAGGAAGACAGAAACACTGGGACCATAACTTGGAGGCTCTACTGGAACTACCTCAGGACGGCTTATTCTACTCCAGTGGTACTTTGTCTAATCCTCGTTGTTCTTGGGATGAAAGGTATTAACACTAGTATTAACAAAGAAGGTTGTGTATAAAATGATAAGGTACACATTAATTTTTTCATATTTTATTGACTTTCTTTAAATCAGCCGCAGCTGAGCTAAACGTTGAAGGGTTATGTTGTATTGCGGTATTGAACAGTTTTGGGACGTCAATTGTATCTTTTCATTGGCTATTATGACGATACACAGGAGACAGGCCAAAATAATTTCTCTAAAACAGTCTCATAGTGCACTTCAACATAATGTCCAATTGTCACCAACTGTATAGCTGTATTTCAGTACCTTGCGTCAGTCTGCTAGCAGGCCTAGGGCCTTTACCTGGAAGATGCCGACGAAGTTAAAGCAAATTAAATAGACTGAGCAGTGCTTGACTTCCTTTTTAATTGAATTTTTTCTTGTGCTGATCTTTATAGTGCTGTTGTTAATGTCATACTGGTGGGCATCACAAGTCGCAGAAATGCCTCAAGAGCAGCAAAGTTCATCAAGGACATTAGGCATTTATGGAGGCTTGGTCGGTTCATCTGTTTTGGCCAATGCCATCTCCTCATATCTAGTTTACTGGACACTTCTCGAAGCTTCCGAGAAACTACACAACAAGATGGTCCTTTCAGTTATAAAGGCGCCTCTGCTTTACTTTGATAAAACTCCTGTGGGACGCATTCTAAATCGGTTTTCCAAAGACATTGGCAGCATCGATGATATCCTTCCTCCCAAATTCCTGACCTCGATAGAAGTCAACTTATTTTCAATGAGCATTATTCTTATGCCTCTTGCAACAAACGTTTGGCTTATTCTAATTGCGGTTCCTCTTGTTTCAATTGCGTTTTACTTCGTACGCTATTATTTAAAGTCTTCGAGGGAGATAAAGAGATTGGAAGCCATCACCTGTAGTCCTGTGTATTCGCACATTTCCGAGACAATTGCAGGACTCGAAATAATTCGTTCGTCACGGATGGAGCAGGAGTTTTTGAGGAGGCTATTCAAGTAAGTGTAATAGCAAGACATCCAATTAACCTCGTCAATAAATCATCCCAAAACGCATGCAAAGGCGTTTGCAAAGGTGACGTTCCCAAACGTTATAGCTTTGATCTCGCATATTCTCTATGTCTTACTTTTTATTTCTTCGTGCGGCGTAATGGCTTCGGGTCAAGTGATCAGAAATAAATTTATAAAGATCTGAAAGGCTTACAAAATTTCTGCAGTGCAGGAAAGAGGGAGGCTCGATTTACAATATTCTCTCTTTGCATTAACTAAATAATACAGAACACCTCTAACTACCCCAGGTTTAATATTCTCTTGGTGTTTTTTTCGTCTTAAGATTTCTATTAGCATGCGTAGTTAGCGGGATTCTTTTGCCAGGGGTACGTTCTTGGCCGCGGAGCCGCCATGCGAAGCGAGATTTCAAATTGACTTTTACCAACTCTTCTCGCGGCTCCACCGCCAAAACAAAACAGCACTCCCACGCTAATCCCACCAGCTACACAGGCTAGATTTTTGTTCAAATGTTTTTTTTTTTGTAGATACCAGGATGAGAACACATCAGCTTTAATGATGGTGATAACTAGCACTCAGTGGCTGAAAGTCCGTGTTATTTGCCTTTGTAGTCTGATGATTGCCGCTGCAGGGTTTGGAGCTATACTTGTTACTCAGAGTCCAGGTTTGTTTTCCTAACAGCTACAGTGAATCTGTTACACTAATCCATTGGCCATAATTTATTTGAGATTTCCCTAAAAAAGAACTGGGTCTTGAGCCATAAGAAATTTTTTTGGTGTTTAACTGCACTGTGAAATTGTTTTATTTGATTACGAGGTGGCGCTAGGGAAGCTGGGTCAAAAGTCATTTCCGAAAAGAGTCCCATAAGGCAATTCTACACGAAACCAACCAAGTGTCAAGAGCCAAATCAAAATGGCGCGCAAACAATGTGGTTTTTAATAGGGCACTGCATAAAAAAACTAAAAACTCCAGTATTAAAAATGACAAAATATTAAAGTAGACGAACTAAAAAATGTCACACTAAGAAAAAAAAGTCGTTGTTCTCTTGCTTGTACTTCAGTGAAGTTCGGAAAGCTACAGCAGGGTTTTTGCAGTCCTTATTTTTGCATTATATTGAATGACATCGGGATACACTATTATAAAGACTTGTATCGCTTAGAGCTATATCCAATGGTTAAAAATATGGACGCCCAAAAAAACGCATTCATTTATTACGGCTCTAAAAAATTAATGAATTTTCTTTATTTCACATTATCAGGTGTTAAACTTCCCATGACGTTATCATCTCATAATTGCAATACCAAAACTTTAAGTTATTTTACTGCTAGATCTCTAACACATTAATTTCTGTCTCAGCCCTGGCAGGAATCTCCTTGGCATTTTTGGTGGAGTCCACAGAGAATGTCGATTACGGCTTCAGAGTAGCGTCTGAAGTGGAAAATCTTATGACATCAGTAGAGAGAGTGATGACGTACACCAAACTAGATGCAGAGGTCGGTTATAGCTCAGAGATCCATCCACCAGATTCATGGCCCAAAAAGGGAACCATCCACATCAAAGACTTGTCTTTCAGATACACCGAGAGTTGGCCACTAGTCCTGAAGGCCATCAATCTGTTTATTGCTGATAAGGAGAAAGTAGGGGTGGTCGGTCGAACAGGAGCAGGAAAGTCATCCCTTGTTGCATCACTATTGCGCATGCCTGATCCGGAAGGAAAGGTAACACCCTTGGCACATATGTTACAGGTCAAAGTTATATTCAGGTTAAAATTTTTGAACCTAGGTTGATTCTCAATTTCTTTTGTCTCCTAGCCCTAACTCATGAATAACTGGGGCCAGGAGAAAAAGGGAATTGAGAATCAACCTAGGTTAAAAAATTTTAACCTGAATATAACTTTGACCTGTAATATACACACTGACGTGATAGTTTTTATGAACAGGTAGAAATTAATATCTTAAAGATAAGAGAGATTGGGGTTTCATCTACCATGTCAGGCGCACCTGCAACGATTTGGTAAGTCTGATCTGTCTCATTCCCGTCTGTTAGCCATGACCGATGGAGGTTCCTACGGTATGACCGATGACACAACTTTCTATTTGATTAAGTAATGTTGTTGCTGGGCGCTCTCTTGAGCGTCTGTCGTGTTTTGGTTCCAAAAGAAGTAGTTGGGAAACAGTCTCATGCTACCTGCTTCTCCAACAGTGCATCTGAGACTTGTTGCAATTGGAGGCAGGTCCCCGTAGAACTCCTTATTACATATACGATCTTTCCAGCTTACTTTTAGGGGATTTCACACACTGAAAGAAGTCTTTGATCTGATATCCACAAACCTATTATTAAGGCGCTTTCCATTTGTTAGGACTGACCAGCCAGACCATTTCCGCCATAAAGAGAATTCCAGTTTTAATCAAAACTATCCAGTCAGATCAGTCAAATCTTATTTACATACAAGAAGAAGATGGTTTTTCAGCAAAGTTTTCGGAAAAACTATTTGCCCATTTTCAAACTGGCTGGTCCGGCCGGCTAGATCTGACCAAATGGAAAACACCCTTATTACTCTAAAATGAAAAATGGTACAGCCGTCCTTGAAACCTTTGGATATATAAAATGAACTATAAGAATGATATGGCGTTAGGTTATTAAATTACCGTAACCTTCTAAATGCAATAATCAAATGGAATTCTGCCTTACGGTTCTATCTAGTTTAAAGATGCTCCACTTAAATAATTTGAAATAATAATAATAATAATAATAATAATAATAATAATAATAATAAGAAGAAGAAGAAGAAGAAGAAGAAGAAGATCAGTTTAAGTAGGACTTAAAAAAGGCAAATATTGCTATATTTTCAGTTATGTTCAAGCAGTTGAACGTAGGATTAATGTCAACTAAATCCGTCTTACAGAGCGCCAGGGGGAAGTTCGAACTCGACCGCGACTCGAGATTGTTTGCACTACGCGCTGAAACCCTTAGTTCCCCTTGGGCAAACTGAAGCAGAAGCAACAAAGTTAAGAAAAGGAATTTATCAAAGGAGCGCCAAGAACAAACCCAGTAAAGTAAGCGTCCAGGGCGGGACTCGAACGGCTCTGGTCACGCCGCGTCCTTAAAGTCCGACAAAATAGGTTGTACTAGGATCCAGTTGTAAAATCAGTCTTGCACGGTACTGATTTTTTTGTGTGTTTTCTTCAGTTATTATATTATATATTAACGAATGTTAGAACTATAATTCATAGCCTGCAAGTCTTGGCCACGGGACTGTTTTGACCCCGTGGCCGGCACGACCTCGATATAGCCACAGAAAGGAAGCGATAGCGATCCCCAAAACACTTCTATCAAGTGATTTCCACATAGCCAAAATGTGCAAATTTTTGTCCTAATTAGGTGTTGATCGACGGTGTCGATATTGGAGCCATTAACCTTCAAGCAGCTCGTCGAAGTATGGCGGTTATCGCACAAGATCCCGTTCTTTTCGGGGCAGCCTGAGAAGAAACATGGACCCATTCTCCAGATACACGGACATGGAACTTTGGACGGCCCTTGAAGAAGTCCAGCTGAAAGGAATGGTAGAGGAACTTCCTGGGCAGCTGTACTACCAGTTGAAAGAATCGGGATCGAACTTCAGTGTTGGCGAGAGACAGCTGGTGTGTCTTGCTCGAGCACTGGTTCACAGAAGTAAGATTATTATCATGGATGAAGCCACGGCCAATGTAGACTTCAAGACTGATCGTCTCATCCAGGAAGTCATTCGTCACAAGTTTAAGGATTCCACGGTGCTGACCATTGCTCACCGACTCGACACAATTATGGATTACGACAAAGTTCTGGTTCTTGAGGGCGGACGAGTCATGGAGTTCGACAAACCGGACGCACTGATAAGAAATGGCGGATTATTTGCAGATTTGGTTAAAATTGCCAGTGAATCAAAAAGCCGAACTCTTTAATCCTCAGTTAAGGATTTCTCCTTTTTGATCAGACTGAAAATTTAACCAAATGAATCTATCACTCAAAAAGGAGTATTTTTTGGCAAATTTTAAAATGTACTTTATTTTATTTAGCTTCCTACCATGTACAGTAATTAGCCCAATTCACTGAAAGGTGACAGCCCAGCTGCTATGGTTACCCCCGGGATCCTGGTGATGTGTAGTACATAACCATGGAAACGTTAAAAAATTCAAAGGAAGGACTTTTACACCCGGGGAAGGAGGTGGGGTGAGTGTGGATGCATGCGAGATGACGGTACAAAGGGGCTAGTTCTTGAAATTGCCGAAATTAAGTACAGATTTAACCGTTCGAGTCTAGGAGAACCGTTGACCACTATTATTTGAATGAAAAAGTAAGAAAGTAACTAAATTCGGGTTTACAAGAGTAACCTCGGGTTGGTGCCCAAACACCTTCGAGATAATGGGCCTGAGGGGAACACAGAGCTTAGAACAAGCCGACTTTGGTATTACCACAGATCATAAAAACAAGCACTACTTTATGTTTCTTGTCGATCTAAATGCAACTACCAACACATCTTGAAGATTGAAAGTTTGTTTAATGATAATCTATGGACTCGACTTGCGAGACCATGCTTGAAACATACATAAGTTGCCGACTCCGTTTCTTGGAAATTTCGTTAACTTCTCAGGGCGAAGCAGACTCAGATTATCCCAAACATCTTAGAGTTTACTCACTTTGCATTGAAACCCAACACATTTCATCTATGACTGGAGCCCATCGCGCGCTCAGCTTTCCTGGCCCCAAATCGAAAAATACAACAGGATTTTCAAGAAACGCCCTAACCCCCCCCCCCCCCCTCCTCCGAGAATTAATATACAATAGTGATATTTCAAGTTCATGTAATCAGTGTGCATGCGCACTTCATGCCAAGCGTGTTCCAAAAAAAAATGTGAATTATTCTAAGCGGTCCTTCCAGCTTTTTTTTCTGGCAGGCAGGGCGAAATAGTTTGGAGCAGTTTTGATGAAGACAGTTTCCCAAATAAGGTCACAAGCAGCGCAACACCGTAACCCGTAGCTCTTTCACCCTGAAAAAGACATGGCGGAGAACGCATCAGCTGGTCGAACGAGAACGGTAACAGGGGGACAACTTAAAAACGCAAAGTTAAGTGGGGCGGGAAAAGACCGACAAGGAGAACGCAAGTTGAAAGTCAAGTCCCTCTTCCACAGTGCGAACACTCAAACCGGGACACTTGGAAGAAGATTGTCCAATCAGAAAACAGCCCTCAGATTAACGAATGTATTCTTCCGTTTGCAATAAAAAAGCGTTGTGATTGAACAATCTTCTTTCAAGTGTGCCGGTTTGAGTGTCCGCCCTGTAACGGACACCTTCCTAAAACTGACACATAGAAATAGTCCTCGTCTTTCCTTAACTCTCTACAAGAAAGGAGACTTGTGTAAGACATATACGATAGTGACCAAGCGTGAAGGCAAGATGTCTGGATTTTTTTATGGACCAAGACAAAATCATAAAGAGAAAACACGAAACCAATACTCAGCCGTCTTGACCGAACAAACTTCCGGGTCAGTAGAGGATATATTATATGGCCAAAACAAAATCTTTTCATGCCAAACCAAACAAACAATGATATCCTAGTGAAATAGCCCCTTTAGGTTTTTGCCTGACACTGCAATGCTTTTTTCTTACCACATGAGCTGGAGCCGCCATGTCAACATGAAGCCAGGTTCCGGGGAAATCAAATCCTAAATGTGAGCCTAAAGATAAGTAAAACAGATTACACATGTAGTTGATACAACGTCTTCAAGTTTGCGTCTTAATATAGACGCAAACGTAATTACAAACGCAATTTGGTGAAACGAAAATTTGGATCTAGAGAAGTGTGCACAAATTAACAGAACATGTCAGTAATAAGCGAGAGGTTTTTATTCAGAGGAGCTGGTTTTCGAGCCGGCGCAAGACTGAGGCATCCGGTAGATTGTAGACATAGCGTCAGTATCTTTTATTGTTGCAAAAGCAGTAACAGTGCCCCAGTTAGCCTACATAGAAAATGTTACCGCGCGAGTTCGTTAACAAAGTTGGAATGGCAGAAGAAAAGGAAGGAAGAGGTGGGGGTGGGGGTCCTTTTCTCCTCTCCCCTCCCCCGTCCTCCCCTTTTTTTTGCTTTCGTTTTAACTTTCGCGCGGAAAATCTGGCTACGCAGGCTGTTCCTATGGGCGGCAGCTATGGGTACACGTACCAATAAAGAGACCAGCACAAGAGACTTGAGCGTTATCACGGTTCTGCAAGGTAAGAGAAAACGGTTTTAATTGGAGTTTTTTTTTGAAAAAAAAAAAACAACAACAAAAAAACAAATGTTCAAAGGTGTAAGAATCAATAATAGTTTCAGGGACAGGTTTCAGCTTTCCTGGCTTTCTAAACTACGATATAATGATTATAAATGGCACACTCAACGATGCTTAAAATGGACCAAAACAACAAGAGTACGAAGTCAATACATTCTTCCATATTAGAACAAGTTAGAAGTAAGCAAGTCAAAATAACAACTTTCAACTTTCAATGAGTACTAAATCTTTGTGTTACTACCTCTTTAAGACAACGTTGCCTTTTTAATTGTGGAAAGGCTGCATCAACTATGTGAAAGTCTACCATGGCCAGAGGGCGAGCAAAGTGAGCTGTATCTCGAATGAAAACAAAAGCTTATACGATATGGGCTAACCATGAGAAGAAATAACAGCTTATGAACATCAAGAACAGCTTATGAGCATCAAGAACAAACCTGGACAGAGTTCTTCATATCTGCTAAGGCGCTTGAAAATTCCGAAAAATGAAGTTCCGGGCAGTAAGGCACTGGGAACTGTAAAAATCCAAAATGGCAAAGTGAGCGAGGGTTGTACAAACGGGTGTTACACGAAAATGTAAGACCTACGACACCATCTTTACATTGACACTTAAGACTTAGATCCCAGTTTCTGCCACACCCTATGAACTTACCAAATACAAAACATACTTATTATTTAAAATAGCGCTATGAATTTTCTAGCTCCAGTGGAGGGGTTTTACGTAAATATATATTAAATTACTGCCGCGTGTTTCGACCAACTGGGAATTTTTGTTTGTTATTTAACTAAAGGTAAAGCTAAAGCAACATTATTTTACGTCGATAACTCGTGACATTAATAGCTGATAAACTTGAGGTCAACGGTGCGTTCATTTCCCCCCCTCCCCCAACCTCTCTCCATCAATGCTCCGTTTTAAGGGTATTTAAAGCTAGTCAAAGCTACACAGAAAGGAGAGAAGTTAAAACAAGGATGTGATGTCACCGGGGATCGAACTCGAAACTTCGCGCACCGAAGGTCGCGCACTAACCAACTGTGCAACCCTTGCCCCAACTGATTTCTTGATTGTTTTTTCACACCCCTTGATCGCTCTAAGCACTTGGACTTTTGGAAAAAGGAAGAAAAGCAGTTTTCATGTCCACAGTACTCACCACCAGATCCCCACTCGCTTTTCCTGCCGCAGCGCAAGCAGGTTCCCAGGCCTCTTCATTCGTTAAAAGGGATGCGTGATGTTTTCCTGTGGCCACACCCTGTGCACCAGTCAGAGTGGCCATGTCCAAAACGATGTCGGCATTGAGATCTTTCTTGGCGTAAGCAACCTTCAGACACGGCAAATTAGCTTAGCAGTAAATATCTGTTAACTAGTCTGAAAATTCAAAAAATCTTTCACACTCAACTTCCTGCCTAATTTCTTAAATTGTTAAGCAGGGCTCAAAAAAAAACTTGGGACTGTTGAAAGTCATGTTGACTAACCAAAGAAATTTTAGCTCGGTCACGTCTCTCTTCTGACCGGTCAAAATGTAAAAAAATAACATAATAATAACTTAAACGTACTAACATGACAAACAAAAACATACAGTCAAAAAAAGATGCTTGCATTCTTGCCACGTTATAGTGTGGAAATGTATTTTTTCCTGGTCGCTTAATTTACCTGTCCAGACTAAATTACCGGCCAATTGAAAGTTTGTCCGGACAAATGGTCATCTTGGTAGTTACAAAACGTAACTGTAACTCAAAGGCGAAAAAACAGTATCTCACCCCATCTCCAAGAACAAGACGTCCTTCAGCATCTGTATTATTAACTTCAACTGTTCTACAGAAGGGGAAATGAACTGTGTTAAGACGTTTTCCATTTGCCGTTAACGTGATTCTAAGTCTCTCTAATGTATGGAACGTCGCGCGTAAACGTAGAAGTTGAACCGCCTCGCCCAACTTTTACGTTTACGCGCGACCTTCAAAACATTGCTTCTACATTCAATTAAAATTACGCGCGTAAAATTTACGCGCGTGCGCGCGAAAAACTCGCGACATGCAGTGGAAATCCACCTAACTCTTTTTCATCGAAGCTACAAGTTCGTTTAAGTCCTCTTTTAAATGAAATATCAAAAGAGGAAAAAAAGGCCGATGGATTAACGTCACACCCCAGTGACGTAATCCTCTAAACTGAAACAAGGAGCCCTTTCATCGCAGCCAGCATGACCTCATCAGGTTTTTTACGACTATGGTTGGTTGGGGTTTATTTACAAGTCCTGCTCAACAGACCAGCAGACTATGAACTTAACTAACCGGGCGGTAAAGGGAAGTAATTAAAGGACCCAAAGTCTCCTCATTTGAGTTAATAGAGAGCTTTAGCAACAACTAAGGTGACAGAAACGAGAACGTCAAAAAAGCAGTAGGTTTTCATCGGCAAAACAACAACTCTGCGCGTGCAGTACGTTTTTTAATGCACATTTCTTTGCCGTCATTGCACGGCTACGACGTGAAACGTCCTGATTTCACGTTTTAGTAAGAACTTAAATACAAGAAAACGATTCAATTTTTCTTTTTCTAAACTTAGATTCAGCACTTTTAGAATTAAACCACAAAAATTCGCAAATACTTGACAAATTGAACGAGATGTAATAAGAGTGAAAAAGTTTGAAGCAGAGCTTATAAATTCACTTTTTGTGAGACGTTTTTGCTGCCATTGCCCTCGCAGATGCTAAAGCTCACTCGCTAAGAGGTGCTAGGAGAGAAAAAAAGGTACCGTTTGAGAATTAATAGGGTTGCTTCTGAAAGTCAGAGAGTAGTTAAGGGGTTGAAAAACGTTGTCGACAGGCAACACCTTCCATTTTATAAACAGCACTTACTTTCCCGAATACAATGTTAATATGTCATCAGGTCTTGTAGAACGAGAACCAACCGCATTTTCAGCCATACAGAACAAAGCATGAAGATTCTCACTAAAACCCTAACGGCAAAGAACAGGGGAGAAACTGTGAGAACACATAGCACAGAATTTCAAAACATACCTTTCCCATACATGCTGACAGCTGTCACTGCTGACTGAATAGTTTGGTTTTCATATTTGATCATGTAGGTGCCATCTTGCCGACGATAAATGAATGAATGAATGAATGAATAAAGAGTTGTGGATGGGAGGACAACAGGCGTGCCCTCTTACAATACATTAACATGTAAACAGTAAGCTCGGATGCCAGCATACGATCGAGAAAGGTTGTTGTTGTTGTTGTTGTTGTTTTTTTTTGGGGGGGGGTTCCTGGGAGTGGGGTGCGGGAGGAAACATCCACATTTACACTTACTAGTATTCAGTATTGTAATTGTGAATTATTTGGAAAACGTTAATTGATGTGCCAGTATAATAATACTATAATACTATTGTCTTGTCTTGTCTTGTTTTTTTTACTAAGTATAATTATATAGACCTGAAAAGAGAACAAACCTACCCTGGTGGTAGGAGAGTGCATGTATAACCAAGCACAAGTAGGTTTGACGTAGACCACTATAACTGTCATAAACCGACAAATGCATCATGTTTCAAAAGCCACATAGGCTCACGCACTTTACTTGGAAACTTGAGTTACAAAGAAGAGACAGCAGTTTTGATAATGTCACAGACTTCAAACTGACCTGTTTCACAGCAGCTCTAAAAGCTCCCAGAATTCCTGCCGCTCCTCCACAATCTCTTTTCATTCCAAGCATGGATGTCTACCAAAAACAAAACTCATGTAGTCTTCGGGAAAATAGGATTACTTAAAGAAATATTCATGAAACCTGCAGGGCTGTCACTATGATTTGAAGTTTCCAGGTATAGGTAAGGTAGTAGGAAAAGGTAGGTTGGGGATTGAACAACTAGGAAGTCAGTCTGACAGTAGCCAGGTTAAATCCCCGGCTCCCGGCCCTCAGTGTTAGCCCTGATGGAACTTTAGCTTAAGGCCCTCTGGAAATTTGAAATGTTGCTTGAATTTTCTCTCGAGGACAGTGTTATAACAGTCATGTACTTGTGCAATAAATTATGTTAGTCTTAATACATGTACTTAACTGGCCCTCTCATGACAACAGGCAAGCTGGTTTCCAACATATTCACTCAAATATATTACAAAACTAAATTCCGTTTTTGATTCTATTTCATTTTACAAACCAGCTTCAGTTTTTTCACCGTAATACAACAGTGTAAAACCCACTAATAATTATTTAATTATTAATTTTCCCCTGAGTAATGAACGGTGTCTAATAATTGGCCAAAATGTTACTTTGAACTGAAAGTCCACAGTTTACAGTTTACAGTTTACAGTTACTTTTTTTGTTTTTCACAAAACAGGATACACAGGGCTGTCATTAAGAGGCGGGAGCTGGGGTTTTCCCCTGGCTACTAGAGACCTTTAGAGTTTAAAGTTAAAACTCTTATCGTTATTGAAGGAGGATGAGCCCTCTCCCGATTGCAAAATGCTAAAACTTCTAACATTTGATAACTTGTTCCCGCCACTACGAAACTCTTGTTAAAACTCGTAGTAGAATGACGACGGCTACCACGTTTTCCCGCCAAAATGACGCTACCTCACGCGCGAGCACTACTTAGCATTGAGAAAATCTCGTACTCGTAGTCGTTCTCGTCTAAGAATCTAAAGCTCTCTACTATGTATGTGGTCCCTGGCTACTTTTGTAGGACATTAGAAGAAAAATAAAACCAAATGAAATCCCTAGCTGTTTTGTTCCCCGCCCTCTTGTTGTATTTACCCAGCAACTTGAAATCTTAGTGACATCCCTGATACAAATGTAAATACTAATTATAGGCGACAAGATTGCAGGAATCCCACTGTTGGATCTGCCTCAAAAACTGCAATGGTAGTAAGGGCTGGCACAGGGGTGAAAGCACTCGGCTCCTACCAATGTGGCCCAGGTTCAAATCCCGGAGTTAATGCTACGTGGGCTGAGTTTGTGGTTAGTTCTCTGCTTTGCTCTGAGAGGTTTTTCTCCATGTAAGTCTTCACTTTTCTCCTCTCCCCAAACAATTAAGTGGATGAGCTAACTCTAAGTCATTATTTATTTATATTTATTTACTTATTCATTTAACATGGCTGCTATAACTATTAACCCCTGATATCTTTCTCTCTGAGATTTATTAATCCATTCCTCCCTGAACTGCCTGTAACCACCAGTGGAGATCCATGTCCCTTCTATTGCTTTTAACGTGATTAGTTTTAGTGTTCAAGGTCAACTTTATGCAGGGTGAAGAAATCTTTCAAACTACACCAGAATGAGCACGGTGTGCTTTCTGCGCACTCCGCAACTGTGGAATGTAATATTTTACATCTGGATAAGAAGGCCGTGAAGTGTAGGACCTGTAGACGGCTTTGTGCAAAGTTAAAGCTATTTATAACCAGAAAGTGACCCGAAAATGGCTTGAATAGCTTCAAAACACATTTTTTTGGCAAATTCCCAAGAACAAATTAGCCTGTTCCAAGCATTCAGATCGTGAGGACAGGGCAAAGAGATGTGACTCCACTATCTGAATGCCTGGAACAGGCTAGGAGCAAATGGGTTAACAGATTGATTTAGAATAAGATGAAATGGTTCTAATCTTGTTTGGCTGAAGTACACATAAAATACAATACAGCAGAACAAACCTTAGCTTTGATGCATAGCCCGCCAGTGTCATACACAATGCCTTTTCCAACCCAGGCTATTGTCCGTGTGGCAGATGCTGGTGTGTGACTTAACACCACTAGAGCTGGTGGATTCTCAGCAGCTTTTCCAACTCCATAAAGACCTGAACAGATGGGAAAAAAGTTAACCTTGAACTCAGATGATGGGCCCTTTGCAGAATACGGACACATGGTACAAAAAAAAACCTTGGTGGATGGTAGATGACCCAATGAAAGGATATTTTACTTTGGAATGATGTAATCCCTTTGATTTTCTTGCCCCTCTTTGTCGTTTGCAATCAAGCATGGTGTTTTTTATATCATATTGCTGTATTCTGTGAAAGGGCCTATTAAGGCTACATCACTTGCCAAACATGTGTTAAAATGGTCTCTGTTTTACTCCCAATGTTCAAATTTGGACACTTCTACTCTCATTTCAAAATGGAAAAAATATCAGGCACTTTGCTGAAAAACACCTTCAGTATTCTCATGACTAAGAAAAAATAAATAATAGTTTTACGGCAACCTCATGGTTTTTACATAAATTTACAAAGCAGTGTTGCAAGTACATGTAAGTTCAGTCTAGTTCAGTCAAGGGCACTCATAAAAGAAAAAAAAAACTTAAATTTCCTTTCCAGTGAGATGGCAAACAACAGCTGAGAAGAGCTTCATCCAAATTCTAGCTACAGTATAATCATGTACTGTATATATAGTATAATGACCTTTGTGGTGACTAGCTCAATATGGTACATTTTAACAAAGTTTATATCTACTGTGCATGTGAAAAATTGGATGATTAAATTTAAGAAGGTTATATTTCTGGACAATACATTTTGTTTCAACTTCTTTCCAAGTAAACTAAATCCTGTCAATTAACCTCTTAGTATCTGCAGGGCAAACTTACCTCCAAATCCCTTTTCATTGAGTTCTTCGCCTCTAATGATAACAGGAACAATTCCTAGCTCCTCACCAACACTAGTTATCTCCTAATGAAATTTAGGATAAAAAGGGGATATGACAGAGTTAGTTCTAAGTGCAGAAATGTCTTTACAATGCACAGTCTGGGCAACATTGTGTTCAAAAGGGACAGACAGCAAATTGTGGTTGTTCAAAATATCTATAAGTTAAAAGTTCATCAATGGGATGCCTAAAATTTGTGCAGTTCCACAACTGGTTTTGGGTCCAGTAAATCCTACACTAATTGCAGAACATTTTAGGAGGAGCTCACACCCACAATAATGTGAGCACAGTTTAATACTGACAAGGCATATTATATTATAAGTACATGTAGGAAACCAGTACAAGAAAGTGCTGTTGGAGAACAGTATAGGTGTAATATCATGCTACAATTTAAAAGGAACACACTTGTTGGTCATTACTTGTTACTTAGTTGCTATGGTTACATGTGACCATGACAACCCTCACCAAACTTTGCCAAATACCTGTTAGGGAATCAAATTAATGCACAGCTACATGTACACATACTAAAGAAAAGAAGTTCTGGATCAAAATTGTTCTTTCTTAAAAAATCAGTGACAGATCAACTAAAGGTTTAAAACTAGTACAATAGGCAACAACATTGTTGAGTCACTACCCTCAAAATCAGAAAACAAAAACCACACTCCTCTCCTCTTCCCTCAATTCAAAGTTGGGGTGTTTGTTGTTTCTTACAGGTAGCCCATACAGCAACACTGAAGTATTGGAGGGTGCAGGGGGAGGGAAAGCTTAATTTTTCACTTTTGAAGTCGGCAAAATGTCACAACGGCCCTTTAAGGCAGAGTGTTTCACATAATTTTGTCGCAGATTGGAGCATTCAAGACATGAATATCACCTGTACAAATGCACTTGTATGCATCTCCTGACATGGCATGTCCACCAGCCTCGCACTGAGACGAATACTATCAGCAACCACATTCATGCATTCAGCATCTTCACGCGAGAGTGGTAAATCATTGCTCCCAACAAAAACAAACTCCACAGTTACTGTCTTTGATGCCAGCTTAGCCCAGGAGGATTTTCTTGAATATGTTGGAAAAGCTCTGGCAATGGCACAGGCAGATGCAAAAGCTTCACTTCTTTCACAGACAACCTGAAGGAGGAAGATGGTATTTGTTTGGATGTACTAGTTTTAATTTTTATTACTTATGAAAAAGACTGAATTATACATCTAGGAGGACCTCTACACCAGTGTTCTCCAGAAAATCTGGGAGCCAGCAAAATCACCAAAGCAAAATCCTACTACCAACCTCACAAACCACATTTTTTGTGTCCCTACTGGAAAAAATTCCACCATTCACCCTCATTTTAAACTCTCTATGAAAATCTCTCTACAACTGACATTAACGTATGATTAACAATGTGTTGTCCCAACTGTCAAAAATATTAGTAACCTCTCTCCATAACAGCCATTCAGAAGGGAATAATAAATGTGTTGACAACTGATGTAGTTAAACTCAAAGTAACTTCCTTGCTTTACATTAACAATAAACAATAAATTATTTTCCTCTGAGCATTTGGTTTTGGATTACTATATAATAAACCTGCCAATCACAATTGTTACAACCATATCCCGCAAATTGGACTCTCATTACACCAGTCCTCTACCTCCCCATAACAACCACTAACTTTTCAAAAATGGCCAGTTATCTCTATCCCCAGGGTAGACTCCCTACAGATTAGTCACGACAATGCACTGCTGAGACCAGTTTTTCAAGGCTTGAAATTATAGTGCTATAAATCAGATAAATTAATATCGAGCACATAAGTATTAGGGAAACCAATCTATTACACTATCCACTAATTTATCCAGAAGGGATCCACGCAAAAAAGTACTCTGCCCCTCTTATTTCCTTTTTGGAGGGGATGTTTGCACGTCTGGTGTTGATTTAGGGACGGACCATCGGAAAACTTATCGGGGGGGGGGGGGCATTCGAAGTACAAAAAAAAAATTTGCACAATCTGGAAAATTAAATGAAAAAAAATTCATGCACGCCAATGAACCCTAAAAAATATTCATGCTATGGTCCAAAAAAATTTCATACAAGGAATTTGATAACGAAAAAAAAATTCCTGCGGCTCGCAAATTCCCCACTGCTCCCACAACTTTTCTAATGGTCCGTCCCTTACATGGAAGGTCTCGCTTTATGTTTTTGGTGCAATTCTGTATTAAAATGAATGATAAAAATTATTATTAATGAAATGGGTCAAACTCATATCACTGTGTCTTACCACAATACAGGCATCACCACAGGGAAGATTACTACACACAAGCTTGTAGAGGAAATAAGGATGAGCTGGAGAATTATGGCGACTGGCTGTGACAGGTAATGCACCAATAACCACACGATTCAACCAAACTGGACAAGCATCTGACCCAGCCATGGTGTGAAGAACCAGATTGAATGTCTGAAAAATTCACGAAAGTTTTATTTCAAAGTAAAAAGCTACATAGCGGTGCTGATCAAAATACTTTTTTCTTTTTTGAACTTCAAAACGTTGTAAAAAGTTGAATTCATTTCAATATAAACAAGAGGGGGGCCTACATTCGGGGGGGGGGGGGTATAACCGGATGAATTTTTTGGTTTAAAGGTAGATGGGCCACTGAATGGTGGACGTTTACAGTAACACTGGCCACAACGGCAGCCTCTTAAATTAAGTATGCTTACTGAAACCATACATGGATGGAAATTTAGTATTACAAAAAGTAGAAATAATAATAATTAGATCAGAAACAAAGAGACTTGTCCCAGATAATTTTCCTCTTCATGGTATCTCCTCTTGTACTGTATATTTATTGTCTGATGTGCAAATTTTCAGCTAAATGTAAACTGGTGTTAAGTGGAATATTGAATTGAAGTGTTTTTAAGATAATCTAATGTAGGCGTAAGGCATTTTCTAAGGTTACCCCCAAGGATGGACGGTCGACTGCACCAAATTGGTGACTCTTCTTTAAGCATGAGCTTAACTGTAACTCTTGTAGAAATTCAACCATAGCAACTTTAAGTTTCAATGTTTTTGAGACCGATTTGTTTTTTAAGATCCAAATTTAAGAGATCAATATTCACGAGTTTACAGGGCAGAAGGAGGCTTACCGTTTAGTTAGTTAATCAACAAAAATGAAACCAGGCCAGGAAAATGAGATTAAAGAATTAAATTGAGGAAATAAAGCATTTTCATACCGCAGCATCAACTCTTCGCGACAACTTTTCGGCAAAATTGTCATATGAAACAGCCTGGAGGTGACGGGGTTGTCCAACGATCAGACATCCTTTCGATTGGGGATCAAATGTGGTTTTTTCCGCAGAAAACACAAGACACGTCTCCGCCATTTTGAACGTGAAGGAAACTTCGATCGACCCTGCACCTACCCCGACAAAATCTATTTCAATCATTGCTAGGGGAGGGGTCGGGAATAAGAAGAAAAGAAAAAAGCCCGCGAAATTTCATTCAACGTACACGAAGCATTGATGAAATGCTCGAACTCTTTGTGGATTTTGAAATGAATCAGAGGTATTTTGTGTTTGTTGTTGTGCACGATGATGTAAGTGAACCAGGTAAGAATTTTCAACGAACACTTGTGTTTGGTGGCCAAAGATAAATCTTCTTTGAGGCTGAGATTTCTGTGAGTTTTCTTTGGATCGTTTCATGTCAGGTTGCTATACACACATGCAGTAACGTGACGATTTATATGCGGCATCTAGCTGCATGCTTTCTGATTCACTTGTAGACAGTTTTGCAGTGCGAGTTTCTTTCCAATTCCATATTGTTTTATTAGGTAATTGTTTAATCGTTCTGAAGCAAAGGCAGCCCAATGTTAATTAAAAAGCAGCTTGGTATTGACTTCAAGTTACACTCATTTCTATATCATTAAAGCCTGGTTTTCATATGTCGGGAAAAATCCCAGACGATCGGGGATTTTACTTTTTGCCGACCGTCCCAGATTTTGCCGATATATCGGATAATCGCCACAAGTCTGTCCCAGAGACGCCATGTTCCATTTTGTATCTGCCCCCTCCCCCCAACTGATGACGGGTTTTTGAATATGGGGGTTCGGATTTTTTCTTTTTAAAAAAGAAGCTGACAAAATTTGGACCCCTACACTGAGTAGGACAAATTTTTCAAAAGTGCTGACTAAAAATGAACCCTTCAGATTTCATTTTTTCAAAGGGCACAGGCAACATTTCAAGGATCAGGCAAAATTTCAAGGGTTTGGATGCCTATCATCTTTAGAGGGGGGGGGGGTTGCAAATGAAAAATGGAATGTCCCTCCCTCCTTGGTATTTGATTCTCCACCATACTGGCTTTGTGTGACTTTCTAAAGAAAACATTTTAATTTTTGTAACTTTGGAAACAAGTTTGGGATAGTTTTAACACAGAACCAGAGGAGGTCAGTAAGTGGTATCTTAAAATTACATGTGATGCATAAAGTTATAGATTGGATCATTGAAGGTTTACATTTCCAAAAAATAAAACTGTTCTTGTAACTAAGATCATTCCCTTATAATCAAAGGAGTGTACGTGTTGGAGTCTTAGCAATGGCTTTGTTTATTTGATGCACAGATTGCCATTGCTGCTCTAAAGATGTGATTCCAAGCATTAAGAGAGTCTTTAAACAGTTGAAGGAGTTTTATAGTCAGGATAAAAACCCGCCTGAAAATTGGGACAATAAGCAGTATGCATTGTTTGGTGAGTTTATTTTATTATTATCTGCCACTCTCATTACATGTATTTTGCACTTTTTTAAAATCGTTGCTTTATTTGATATTAATTGTCTCATCAGTGTGGTTTGGTGGACTTATTATTGTAATTTTACTGTAGGACACGTTCAATTTTTTTTGTCCTTCTTTAACCACAATGGTAATAAACCAGACAAGTGTTTTGTACAAACTGTACCTTAATACTTCCTTTGATAAAAACTTCTCCATTTGTGTCCCATGTGATTAAAATCAAGTAGCATGCAAAGTGATTCAAGTCTCTTGAGCTAAAGTAGGGTGTTTTAACTTACTTTTGAGTGGTGCTTTACCCATTTTAAAGGGGAAAAGGAATACATGTAGTTTTACATCTTTATTGATAATTATTGTTACATGTAGTACTCCTTACTAGTACGTATCAAGTCAAAAGGTTCTATTCACATCCTCTCCTTATGTAGATCCATTTTTGGGCCTAAAGGATGCTACACCAACAATTTACTTCAGCGTTGTAGTGGACAAGCTATTGACCCACCAACTTCAGGTTAGTTTGTTTTTGAATTTTAGTCAATTTTTTTAAATAGTTCTTAAGCTTTTGGGCACTTGTCACTTATTAAGTACAATGCCTATTTGGTTTTTATCAACTAAGCCTTCTGCTCAACATCAATGTGTTTCTACAGTCAGTGTGACATAAACAGTTAACTATGCTTTGGGATAATTAATTATTACTCAGGGTTGTCATTAAGAGCCGAGGGCTAGGGATTTTCCCCGGCTACTAAGAGAGTGGCCCCTGGCTACTTTTATTGGAAAATAGAAGAAAAATAGAACCAAAAGAAATCCCTAGCCATTTGATTCCCCGCCTACTTGTTGTATTTACCTGGCAACTTGAAATCTTAGTGACTACTCTGTTACTAGTACAGTACTGCTCAAAAGTAAGTTACCGGTCATGTCTCATTTGCTGTATGATGGGAATCGCATCACACACTAGACGACTCTTGTCGCGGGATGAGAATCGCATAGCACGAGAATCATCAAAACCCGGAAATTTGATCTCCCACAACTGCGTCACTAGTGGAGGTGGGTGCCAGGATGTCAAGGGGCTTCCAGCTATGGCACAGCCAGCCCATAGACAGAGTTACAATGTACGCCTTCATGGCCGGCAAACTCGTGCCCTCCAGCCTTGAGCCCCTATGCCAATGGAACCAGACACCTGTCACAATGATTTATCAGTGGAAGAATAAAGGGGGGAGGGATGTGGGTAAAAGAATTATCCAAAGGCTAAACGAAGAGAGTGGCCGCCAGGAAAACGCTGTACTGAGCACATGGAGGTGATGCAAGCAAGGCTGACCATGCTTGAGCCAAACGACTGATCGTCAGTGTTCCTTGTTATTAACTTTGTTAAATAAATATTTTATTTAACTTCATAATACTATAGACTATTTGATTGCGTAGTTTTCTTAATGGGCGTTCGCTACATGAAACACTTTGACTGACAGAAGAAGATTTCCTTTATATTTTTTTCACACGGAGGTGAAACAGCAACTACAGTGTATAATGTCGGTGAGATTGGAAATGGAAACTATGGCAGAGAATGCCGCATCACTTAATTTGCATGAAAGTGAAAGGGTGACATTTGAAACCCGATTAAGATGCTTGTAGAACAGATGTCTCTTGTGTGCAACATTTATGTTACATGTATAACCCTGAATAAAATAACTTGTTTGCTAATTACTCTAAAAATTTAATCTTTTTTTTTCTATACCCAGTATTGTTCAAAGTGGAATGGAGAAGAGCAGCTTAAAGAAGTGTTAGCTGGACTTGATAAGCATGTAAATTCTCCAGTCATTGCTAATAAGATAAGGTGACTGTCAGTAACTACCGGTAAACAATGTATAAAAAATGTTACATCAATGATCATTGATTGTCTTACAATGTAGTACCACAAGGACCTGTCTGAACATGCTCTGATTTTTAAGGTCCCACGTCTACTCTGTAGGGCTTTTCTGTGAGTGAGTGAGAAAATTCATGGGAAGGACCTTACAGTAAACGGCGGTATTTTTTATCCCCAGAGTATACAAGGCTGTGCTCTAACGAAAATTGAAGGGAGCCGAGTGCTCTGAACCTGTAAAATCCAGGGTGCCCAGCGTATGATTTGTATGAAAAATCTGAGATTTTCTTGTCGCCTGAGAGCAAAAGTTAGGTGCCAGGGGCCACCGGGCTCTGCTAGAACACAGCCCTGGTATGTATATCATTTATACCCAAATGATTATCGTTAATTTGTGATTGAAAACATTTTTATTATTTCCACCTAAAACAGTTATGACAAAGATACTGAAATCTCAGAAAGACTACATCACCTTGCTGATGATTTACCAGATCATGGTATGGTGCAGTATTTTTTATTAATTTTTCATTAATTTGATGATTTTTATCTACGGAAAATATTTTCAGTGATTCTTGTCACTAGCCTGTCTTAATCATTAACTTTGTTAACTTGCATTGTAGCTGGTGTTCCTGTTGATGTTCTATGGTTCTCGTGTGGGAAAAACAGTTTGCCAATCAGGTGTGTAGAGCTTGTTGTTGCAGTAATTTATCACACGTAACTTATAAACAGTCATTATTATTCATTCAAAATATTTCTCCATTTCTGATTGGCTAAAATCCCGCGCGTACAATGTAATTCATCATAACTAGCTATTGTCAACCAAATTTGGAAGAATTTTGCGATATGTGAAAAATGATGTCAATTGTGCAGCAAATTGCCAGATTATTGAACTGTTAACTGAGAAGACCTGCGGACAAGGTTGAGTTGTTTAACTGGTAGTGGGTAAAAAAATGGCAGAACATTTCACTTGTTTGACAAGGAATGAACAGGTGAACTGTTTGCTAAAAACTATAGCAGTTCATTCAATAATTGTTAATTATCTTCAAACCAAAGGGTGTTGTATACAGAAAAGGTATAACAAGGGCAGTTTTGTTATCAAATATTGATCATTTTCTGTGTTAGAATCAAGAAGGGAACTGGACTGAGTTAACTTTCACAAAGACTTCTGGCACTGTTACTTGGGACAGGGAGAAAAATTGGCCAATACATGTTGCTGACGGGCTTGTTCCCTGTAGTCATCTCAGAAACAGATGTGGGGCGCATTTCAGCTGCAGAACTTTCTCTTCTCGATTCTGAAGTGCCAATACTCTACATTGTACTTTCAGTAACTGTGTGATGAATCCTCCATCTTATTTGACCTCATTAGCCTAATCATGTTTTACTACACTGTTACTGGGAACTACATGTACTGTCTATTGATATTGAAAAGACTCAGACAGTTCCAAGCAAGGTACATAGTAACCGGCTGATATAATTATTATAATACATACAGTACTAATAGACTGAGTGTATAATAATTATTATTAAAAACTGAATCATTTGATAATGCAATTCTAGCATTTTGATTGGCTTAGCCATTATGGTATATGAGCTATTATACCATGCTCTCCATGGTTGGTGTACGCGTCAGTTTAAAATTGGAAGCTAGCTGAGATTTTTTTTCTGGAAGGATAGAACGGCGCCAGAAGCAAATCATGTTAATTCATTTCTTAGAATACTAGAAATGCAATTTCATCGAAAGAAAAAAGACAAAAACAAGCAAAAAAGCCACAAGAGCTTGTTTGAAAGTTTGTCGAAAAACACATGAAAATACATCGAACTAAAGTACCTTGAGCAGCTACGAAAGAAGACAAGTGTTTTCTTCATGATAACAAAGCCATTTGCCAATCAAGTCACTCGCTGATAGATAACTGCGGCTTGTTTATCTGACATCAAGAATATAAATCACAAGCAACCAGCTACAAATACAGGCTATGCAGTCATTCACTAGAGCAATCGAGGCGGCAGTATAGCTTCTTTTTTTGTTCAGCAAAGCCAGCTTGTGGCTTAAAACAACTTCATAACAAGTGACTGAGGTAATAGTTTTTCTCCGTTGTTCTTACTTTTGTATCTGCACCAAAAATCCAAATTCACAGTAATTTCGACGGCTGTCACTTAAAAATTCTTTTCCTTCACATTAGGTTTTTTTAGCTGTCCTGCTGTGTAAAATCCTAGAATTCCGATGAGTTTTTAAAAATGTTCATCACTGCAATGTTTTGATTTTTCATTCATGCAGTCCGGGCGAGTTTGTTCGCGCGTTGACAGTTTTGATAGATGTGTGACATGTGAATAGTGGAAGTCCCTTGTCTTTTCCGGTTTGTTCTAACAAAAATTAATTATTAAAGTCGGAGAGATTCAACAAGATTTTGTGGGCGTTTTTAATAAAACAATTATTCCACTTGCGCTTGTTGGATATGAGATGATTATAGCCAACTCGGCGCTATGTGCCTCATTGGCTATCTATCATCTCATATCCAACGCGCCCTCGTGGAATAATTGTTAACTATACACTCAGTCTGTTAGTACTATATGAGAATTTTTAATACACTGTACCATTAACACATTGTAAATAAGTGATACTCTATATTGTATTAGCAACAGTTGATTGATTTACATTGTAGGTCCCACTTGCATCTGTTTGGTGCCTTTAAGAGACTGCAGGAATGGAATAATGCTAATATTACTGTTCTTTGTAGTGATGATTTTGATAGGCAAGTACCCAATTGGGGCCATGAGTTGTTGATTTATAAGGAGTGTGAAGCAACAAGCGCTCATAATGTGGGTGGCAGAATCAGTTATCCTCTAGCGGTAAAAACAACCTAAAAGGCTCTGAAGAACCTGTTTAACAACTGTTGAACAGATGTGTATCTTGATTGAATTTGAATTTTCGAACTGTACAGTTTAAAAATTAGTTAGACTCTTGACTCATAAGAGGCTGATAACTTATTAATAATTACAGGGTGTCCCAAAAGTTCGTTCCTCTAATTTCGTACACTGTAACTTTTCATCAAAACTTTTTATTTTTACTTGAAATTTCTAGAACGTGTTTATTTCACTATCGAGTACATGTATTCAGAATTTCAGTAACTGGCATACCCATTTTGTTTTATTATCGCATTCTGTAGCCGTTGCGGCTTGAAGTGGGATACAGCGTGTAGACTCACAGATGATCCATTTTGAGCTTTTTTATCACCTGGTGTGCAGGAGCCAGTTCAGCCCCCAAACAATATTTGTTTACTTAAGGCAGCTGAAAAAAATATATATATTGGACATTCATCCAAAAAAGATAATCATCCCTTCCAAAGCAAGGCTTTTGTGCTTCTTTACAAATTTGAGACGAGCTGGGCGTTACTTGGCAGACTATTAAAGCAGAGTTTTTTTTTTGGCCATCTAACGGGCCTGTAATGTTTTAAACATTTTTAACCCTTAATTTTCTCCTAACAGTATCCATTCACTGTCAAGAGATAAAGTTATGAGAATTAATAAAATGATCATCATAGAGAAAATTCTGTGATCTTTTATCAAATTCTCTCAACTAATTCTTAAAGAGATGTATGGAGATCAGTTTGGAGAATTTGTATGTGGATATTGGGGCTTAAAGGGTTAACAGCTTTTCATGACCCTTTCTGGGCTTGGCGTGCTAACCATGTGAGAGTTTCCTCATGGAGATGTCTCCTTTTTTGCATTTAGCCTTCTTTAAAACTATTTTACCTGCTTTATTCAGGACTTTTGGTCTTCCCTCTCGTTTCTGGCCTTCAAAACCTTCATTTCTTCGTGATCATTTTACCACCCAACATTCGGATTTTTCCATTTTTTTGTCACTTCCTATAACAGATAAGCCAGTAAATCGAAATATACATGCTTATGCTCTCACATGGCTGAATGTTTTTGCGTTAAGGGCGTTTATCTTTCTTGATATTCACAAAAAAAATGGAAGGAGTGAGAGCAATTCGGGCCATAAAATACAAAAAAAAAAGGCTGGAAAGTATACTCGCGCATGCGCACCTTTGGTGCGGAAGAACACAAATCCAATATTCGAGTCAAAAGATGGCGCTACAAGTACGCAAATAGTGAATTAGATTGAAAGACACAACTTTTGTGTAAATGATTTGCTTACCAAGTCCAATCGTACTGAAATACAGACTTATAAAATAGAGGAACGAACTTTTGGGACACCCTGTATACCTGTACCCACGTCGTGGATTGAAGTGTATCAAAGCAGGGATGGACCAATTGGAAAAACTTAACCCAGTCATGTACAGGATACGGGTTATAAATATACTGGGATTAGACTGTGAATGGAACTTGGGCCATACTGTTGGGACAAAAGTGCTGCACCCCTAGGGTTCAATATACTACACTTGCTAATAGGCTGGCATTTCTTAAGAGGATAGCCTAGTACATGTATATTTTGTTTCCCCCCAAAAAAGAGGTAATACAGGAAACTGATTTCAATTTTGTTTTTGTATTATTTTATTAATAGAGAAACCTTTTCAAAAACCTGGCAGAAAGTTTTGAGCATATCAGTGATGCAGCTCCACAAAAAGAATCCAGATTCACTGGTCAAGCTGCTTGATCCCTCTGTTGTTTGGCAAGGCTCTTTGGTTATCAGTGAGGTACATTTAAATTAAGGGGGATTTAATTTTTTCTTAGTCTGTGCACCAAATGGTATGGGGTAACCATGCAAAGAAACCTCTTCAGCTGTTCTATCATGTGATACTATTTATTATTTTAGTATACAGTTCCAATTTTTTAATTTGTGGAAGACGTCCTATGGTTTTACAAAAACGTTCTATTCATAATGTGGGTCTCACTCCTAGACATCCCTTGTGATCCTTAGTCATCTCAGTCATCGCTAGTCATCCCTAGTCATCCCCAGTCATCTTAAGTCGTCCTATTTGTCCCTAGTTATCCGTAGTCATCCCAGTAGTCTTAGTCATCCTAAGTCATCCCTAGTCATCCTACTCGTCCTTAGTCATCCCAAGTCATCCCTAGTCATCCCAGTCATCCCTAGTCATCCCTAGTCATCCCAGTCATCCCTAGTCATCCCTAGTTAGCTTAGTGATCCCTAGTCATTCCTAGTCATTCCTAGTCATCCCTAGTCATCCCACTCATCCTTGGTCATCCCTAGTCATCCCTGTTATCCCTAGTCATCCCTAGTCATCCCAGTCATCCCTAGTCATCCCAAGTCAACCTAGTCATCCCTAGTCACCCTAGTCATCCCAGTTATCCCAGTCATCGCTCGTCATCCTTAGTCATCGCTAGTCATCCCTGTCGTCTAAGTTATCCCTAGTCATCCCTAGTCATCCCAGTCATCCCTAGTCATCCTAGTCATCCCTAGTCATCCCTATTCATCGTTAGTCAACTCAGCTGTCCCTAGTCATCCTTGGTCATCCCAGTCATCCCTAGTCATCCCTAGTCTTCCCTAGTCATCCCAGTCGTCTTAGTTATCCCTAGTCATCCCTAGTCATCCCAGTCATCCTTAGTCATCCCTAGTCACCCCTAGTCATCTTAGTCATCCCTAGTCATCCGTAGTCATCCTTAGTCACCCCTAGTCATCCCAGTCATACCTAGTCATCCTTAGTCATCCCAGTCATCCCTAGTTATCCCTGGTCATCCGTAGTCATCCCCAGTCATCCTTAGTCATCCTATTCCTCCCTATTCCTCCCTAGTCATCCTGGTCGTCTTAGTCATCCCTAGTCATCCCTAGTCATCCCACTCGTCCTTACTCCTCCCTAGTCATCCCTAGTCATCCCAGTCATCCCTAGTCATCCCTAGTCATCCCAGTCAACCCTAGTCATCCCTAGTCATCCCTAGTCATCCCAGTCATCCCTAGTCATCCCTACTCATCCCTAGTCATCCCTAGTCATCCCATTCATCCATAGTCATCCCTAGTCATCCCTAGTCACCCTAGTCATCCCTACTCAGCCTAGTCATCCCTAGTCATCCTTAGTCATCCCTAGTCATCCTTAGTCATCCCAGTCATCCCTAGTCATCCCTGGTCATCCCTAGTCATCCCAGTGATCCCTAGTCATCCCTAGTCATCCCAGTCATCCCTAGTCATCTTTAGTCATTCCTAGTCATCCCAGTCGTCCCTAGTCATTCCTTGCCATCCCAGTCATCTTTAGTCATCCCTAGTCATCCCAGTCATCCCTAGTCATTCCTAGTCAGCCTAGTCATCCCTAGTCATCCCAGTCATCCCTAGTCATCCTTAGTCATCCTTAGTCATCCCTTGTCATCCCGGGTCATCCCTAGGCATCCCTGGTCATCCCAGTCATCGCTACTTATCCTTAGTCATCGATAGTCATCCCAAGTCATCCGTAGTCATCCCAGTCATCCGTAGTCATCCCAGTCATCCCTAGTCATCCCTAGTCATGCCAGTCAACCCTTGTGATCTTTTGTCATCCCTAGTCATCCTAGTCATCCCTAGTCATCCCTTGTCAACTTAGCCATCCCTAGTCACTCCTAGTCATCCCTAGTCATCACAGTCATCCCTAGTCATTCTAGGCATCCCTTGTCATCCCTAGTCAACTCAGCCATCCCTAGTCATCCCTAGTCATCCCTAGTCATCTCAGTCATCCCTAGTCATCCCTAGTCATCCCAGTCGTCTTAGTTATCCCTACTCATCTTTAGTCATCCCAGTCATCCTTAGTCATTCCTAGTCACCCCTAGTGATCTTAGTCATCCCTAGTCATCCGTAGTGATCCTTAGTAATCCGTAGTCATCCCAATCATCCCTTGTCATCCTTAGTCATCCCAGTCATCGCTAGTCATGCCTAGTCATCCCCAGTCATCTTTAGTCATGCTATTTGTCCCTAGTCATCCCTAGTCATCCCTAGTCTTCCCAGTCATCCCTAGTCATCCCAGTCGTCTTAGTCATCCTCAGTCATTCCTAGTTATCCCACTCGTCCTTAGTCATCCCTAGTCATCCCTAGTCATCCCAGTCATCCCTAGTCATCCCTAGTCATGCCAGTCAACCTTAGACATCCCTAGTCATCCCTAGTCATCCCTAGTCAGCTTAGTGATCCCTAGTCATTCCTAGTCATTCCTAGTCATCCCTAGTCATCCCAGTCATCCTTGGTCATCCCTTGTCATCCCAGTCATCCCTGGTCATCCCTAGTCATCCCAGTTATCCCTAGTCATCCGAAGTCAGCCTAGTCATCCCTAGTGACCCTAGTCATTCCAGTCATCCCAGTCATCCCTAGTCATCCTTGGTCATTGCTAGTCATCCCTGTCGTCTTAGTTATTCCTAGTCATCCCTAGTCATCCCAGTCATCCCTAGTCATCCTAGTCATCTCTAGTCATCCCTAGTCATCGTTAGTCAACTCAGCCGTCGCTAGTCATCTTAGTCATCGGTAGTCATCCGTAGTCATCCTTAGTCACCCCTAGTAATCCCAGTCATCCCTAATCCCAGTCATCCCTAGTTCATCCCAGTCATCCCTAGTCATCCCCAGTCATCCTTAGTCATCCTATTCCTCCCTAGTCATCCCTAGTCATCCCGGTCGTCTTAGTCATCCCTAGTCATCCCTAGTCATCCCACTCGTCCTTACTCCTCCCTAGTCATCCCTAGTCATCCCAGTCATCCATTGTCATCCCTAGTCATCCCAGTCATCCGTAGTCACCCTAGTCATCCCTAGTCAGCCTAGTCCTCCCTAGTCATCCTTAGTCATCCTTAGTCATCCCAGTCAACCCTAGTCATCCCTACTCATTCCTAGTCATCCTAGTCATCCCTAGTCATCCCTAGTCATCCCTAGTCATCCCTGGTCATCCCAGTCATCCCTAGTCATCCCTAGTCATCCCAGTCATCCCTAGTCATCCCAGTCGTCTTAGTTATCCTCAGTCATCCCTAGTTATCCCACTCGTCCTTAGTCATCCCTAGTCATCCCTAGTCATCCCAGTCATCCCTAGTCATCCCTAGTCATGCCAGTCAACCTTAGACATCCCTAGTGATCCCTAGTCATCCCTAGTCATCCCTAGTCAGCATAGTGATCCCTAGTCATTCCTAGTCATTCTTAGTCATCCCTAGTCATCCCAGTCATCCTTGGTCATCCCTAATCATTTCAGTCATCTCTAGTCATCCCAGTCATCCCTGGTCATCCCTAGTCATCCCAGTCATCCCTAGTCATCCGAAGTCAGCCTAGTCATCCCTAGTCACCCTAGTCATTCCAGTCATCCCAGTCATCCCTAGTCATCCTTGGTCATCCCTCTTAGTCATCCCTGTCATCCCTTGGTCATCCCTAGTCATTCCTAGTCATCCTAGTCATCCCAGTCATCCCTAGTCATCCTAGTCATCCTAGTCATCCCTAGTCATCCTTAGTCATCGTTAGTCAACCCAGCTGTCCCTAGTCATCTTAGTCATCCCTAGTCATCCCTAGTCATCCTTAGTCATCCCTAGTCATCCTGCGTCCCAGTCATCCCTAGTTATCCCTGGTCATCCCCAGTCATCCCCAGTCATCCTTAGTCATCCTATTCCTCCCTAGTCATCCCTAGTCATCCCGGTCGTCCCAGTCATCCCTAGTCATCCCTAGTCATCCCACTCATCCTTACTCCTCCCTAGACATCCCTAGTCATCCCGGTCGTCATCCCTTAGTCATCCCAGTCATCCCAGTCAACCCTAGTCATCCCTTAGTCATCCCAGTCATCCTTAGTCATCCCAGTCATCCCTAGTCCTCCCTGTCAGCCTTGTCATCCCTAGTCATTCCTTATTATCCTTAGTCATCCCAGTCATCCCTACTCAACCCTAGTCATCCCTAGTCATCCCATTCATCCATAGTCATCCCTAGTCATCCCTTGTCAACTCAGCCATCCCTAGTCATTCCTTGTCATCCCTAGTCATCCCTAGTCATCCCAGTAATCCCTAGTCATCCGAGTCATCCGAAGACATCCCTAGTCATCCTTAGTCAACTCAGCTATCCCTAGTCATCCCTACTCATCCCCAGTCATCCCTAGTCATCCCTAGTTATCCCAGTCGTCCCTAGTCCCCTAGTCATCCCTAGTCATCCCTGTCATCCTAGTCATCCCTAGTCACCCCTAGTCATCCCAGTAATCCCTAGTCATCCGTAGTCATCCTTAGTCACCCCTAGTCATCCCAGTCATCCCTAGTCATCCCTAATCATCCCAGTCATCCCTAGTCATCCCTAGTCATCCCTAGTCATCCCGGTCGTCTTAGTTATCCCTAGTCATCCCACTCATCCTTAGTCATCCCTAGTCATCCCTAGTCATCCCAGTCATCCCTAGTCATCCCTAGTCATCCCAGTCAACCCTAGTCATCCCTAGTCATCCCTAATCATCCCAGTCATCCCTAGTCATCCCTATTCATCCCTAGTCAGCCTTGTTTTCCCTAGTCATTCCTGATCATCCTTAGTCATCCCAGTCATCCCTACTCATCCCTAGTCATCCCTAGTCATCCCTAGTCATCCCAGTCATCCCAGTCATCCCTAGTCATCCCTAGTCATGCCAGTTGTCTTAGTCATCCCTAGTCATCCCTAGTCATCCTAGTCATCCTTGGTCATCCCTAGTCATCCCAGTCATCCCTAGTCATCCCTAGTCATCCCTAGTCATCCCAGTCATCCCTAGTCATCCCTAGTCCCTATCACCCTAGTCATCCCTAGTCATCCCAGTCATCCCTAGTCATCCTTAGTCATCCTAGTCATCCTTAGTCATCCCTAGTCATCCCTTGTCATCCCTGGTCATCCCAGTCATCCCTAGTCATCCTTGGTCATCCCTAGTCATCCCTAGTCATCCCTCCCAGTCATCCCTAGTCATCCTAGTCATCCTATCATCCCTAGTCATCCCTAGTCATCCCTAGTCATCCCAGTCATCCCTACTCATCCCTAGTCATCCCTAGTCATCCCAGTCATCCATAGTCATCCCAGTCATCCCTAGTCATCCTAGTCATCCCTAGTCATCCCTAGTCATCCTTAGTCAACTCAGCCATCCCTAGTCATCCCTAGTCATCCCTAGTCATCCGTAGTTATCCCAGTCGTCTTAGTTATCCCTAGTCATCCCTAGTCATCCCAGTCATCCGTAGTCATCCCTAGTGATCCTTAGTCATCGCTAGTCATTCCTAGTCAACTTAGCCATCCCTAGTCATTCCTTGTCATCCCTAGTCATCCCAGTTATCCCTAGTCATCCTAGTCATCCCTAGTCATCCCTAGTCATCCTTAGTCAACTCAGCCATCCCTAGTTATCCCTTGTCATCCCTACTTATCCCAGTCGTCTTAGTTATCCCTAGTCATCCCTAGTAATCCCTGTCATCCTTAGTCATCCCTAGTTACCCCTAGTCATCTTAGTCATCCTTAGTCCTCCCTAGTCATCCTTAGTCACCCCTAGTCATCCCAGTCATCCCTAGTCATCCTTAGTCATCCCAGTCATCCCTAGTTATCCCTGGTCATCCCTAGTCATCCCCAGTCATCCTTAGTCATCCTTCGTCATCCCCTGGTCATCCTTAGTCATCCCTAGTCATCCCCAGTCATCCTTAGTCATCCCTAGTCATCCCTAGTCATCCCAGTCATCCCTAGTCATCCTTTGTCATCCCAGTCATCCCAGTCATCCCTGGTCATCCCAAGTCATCCTAGTCATCCCTAGTCCCTAGTCATCCCTAGTCATCCCAGTCATCCCAGTCATCCTAGTCATCCCTAGTCATCCCTAGTCATCCTAGTCATCCCAGTCATCCCAGTCATCCCTAGTCATCCCTAGTCATCCCTAGTGATCCCTAGTCATCCCCAGTGATCCTTAGTCATCTTACTCATCCCTAGTCATGCCTAGTCATCCCTAGTCATCCCTAGTCTTCCCAGTCATCCCTAGTCATCCCTAGTCATCCCTAGTCATCCCTAGTCATCCCTAGTCATCCCAGTCATCCCTAGTTATCCCTAGTCATCCCTAGTCATCCCTAGTCATCCCTAGTCATCCCTAGTCATCCCTTGTCATCCCAGTGTTCCTCAGTCATCCCTAGTCATCCCTACTCATCCCAGTTATCCCTAGTCATCGCTAGTCATCCCTAGTGTCCCAGTCATCCCTAGTCATCCCTAGTCATCCTTAGTCATCCCTAGTCACCCCAGTCATCCTTATTTATCCCTATTCATCCCAGTCATCCTTAGTCATCCCTGGTCATCCCTAGTCATCCCCAGTCATCCTTAGTCATCCCTATTGGTCCCAGTCATCCTTAGTCATCCCTAGTCATCCTAGTCATCCCTAGTCATCCTTAGTCGTCCTCCCTAGTCTTCCCTAGTCATCCCAGTCATCCATAGTCATCCCTAGCCATCCCAGTCGTCTTAGTAATCCCTAGTCATCCCTAGTCATCCCTAGTCATCCCTAGTGATCCCAGTCATCTTTAGTCATCCCTAGTCATCCCTGGTCATCCCTAGTCATCCCAGTATTCCCTAGTCATCCCTAGTCATGCCAGTCAACCTTAGACATCCCTAGTGATCCCTAGTCATCCCTAGTCATCCCTAGTCAGCATAGCGATCCCTAGTCATTCCTAGTCATTCTTAGTCATCCCTAGTCATCCCAGTCATCCTTGGTCATCCCTAATCATCTCAGTCATCTCTAGTCATCCCAGTCATCCCTGGTCATCCTTAGTCATCCCAGTCATCCCTAGTCATCCGAAGTCAGCCTAGTCATCCCTAGTCACCCTAGTCATTCCAGTCATCCCAGTCATCCCCAGTCATCCTTGGTCATCGCTAGTCATCCCTGTCGTCTTAGTTATTCCTAGTCATGCCTAGTCATCCCAGTCATCCCTAGTCATCCTAGTCATCTCTAGTCATCCCTAGTCATCGTTAGTCAACTCAGCCGTCACTAGTCATCTTAGTCATCCGTAGTCATCCGTAGTCATCCTTAGTCACCCCTAGTAATCCCAGTCATCCCTAGTTATCCCTGGTCATCCCTAGTCATCCCCAGTCATCCTTAGTCATCCTATTCCTCCCTAGTCATCCCTAGTCATCCCCGTCGTCTTAGTCATCCCTAGTCATCCCTAGTCATCCCACTCGTCCTTACTCCTCCCTAGTCATCCCTAGTCATCCCAGTCATCCATTGTCATCCCTAGTCATCCCAGTCAACCCTAGTCATCCCTAGTCATCCCAGTCATCCTTAGTCATCCCTAGTCATCCCTAGTCAGCCTTGTCATCCCTAGTCATTCCTTATCATCCTTAGTCATCCCTAGTCATCCCAGTCATCCCTAGTCATCCCTAGTCATCCCATTCATCCATAGTCATCCCTAGTCATCCCTTGTCAACTCAGCCATCCCTAGTCATTCCTTGTCATCCCTAGTCATCCCTAGTCATCCCAGTCATCCCTAGTCATCCTAGTCATCCGTAGTCATCCCTAGTCATCCTTAGTCAACTCAGCTATTCCTAGTCATCCCTACTCATCCCTAGTCATCCCTAGTCATCCCTAGTTATCCCAGTCGTCTTAGTTATCCCTAGTCATCCCTAGTCATCCCTGTCATCCTTAGTCATCCCTACTCAACCCTAGTCATCTTAGTCATCCCTAGTCATCCTTAGTCATCCTTAGTCACCCCTAGTCATCCCAGTCATCCTTAGTTATCCTTAATCATCCCAGTCACCCCTAGTTATCCCTGGTCATCCCTAGTCATCCCTAGTGATATCGGTCGTCTTAGTCATCCCTAGTAATCTTACTCATCCTTAGTCATCCCTAGTCATCCCTAGTCATCCTAGTCATCCCTAGTCATCCCTAGTCATCCCAGTCAACCCTAGTCATCTCTACTCATCCCTAGTCATCCTAGTCATCCCTGGTCATCCCTAGTCATCCCTAGTCAGCCTTGTCATCCCTAGTCATTCCTGATCATCCCTAGTCATCCCAGTCATCCCTAGTCATCCCTAGTCATCCCAGTCATCCCTAGTCATCTCAGTCATCCCTAGTCATCCCTAGTCATCCCTAGTCATCCCAGTCGTCTTAGTTATCGCTAGTCATCCCTAGTCATTCCTAATCATCCCTAGTCATCCCTAGTCATCCCAGTCATCCCTACTCAACCCTAGTCATCCCTAGTCATCCCATTCATCCATAGTCATCCCTAGTCATCCCTAGTCACCCTAGTCATCCCTAGTCAGCCTAGTCATCTCTAGTCATCCTTAGTCATCCCTAGTCATCCTTAGTCATCCGAGTCATCCCTAGTCATCCCTGGTCATCCCAGTCATCCCTAGTCATCCCTGGTCATCCCTAGTCATCGGAGTCATCCCTAGTCATCCCTAGTCATCCCAGTCATCCCTAGTCATCCTTAGTCATCCCTAGTCATCCTAGTCATCCCTAGTCATCCCTAGTCATCCCTAGTCAACTCAGCCATCCCTAGTCATTCCTAGTCATCCCTAGTCATCCTTAGTCATCCCAGTCATCCCTAGTCATCCTAGTCATCCCTAGTCATCCCTAGTCATCTTTAGTCAACTCAGCGATCCCTAGTCATCCCTAGTCATCCCTAGTCATCCCTAGTTATCCCAGTCGTCTTAGTTATCCCTAGTCATCCCTGGTCATCCCTAGTCATCCCTAGTCATCCCAGTCATCCGTAGTCATCCCTAGTGATCCCTAGTCATCGCTAGTCATTCCTAGTCAACTTACCCATCCCTAGTCATTTCCTGTCATCCCTAGTCATCCCTAGTCATCCCAGTTATCCCTTGTCATCCTAGTCATCCCTAGTCATTCCTAGTCATCCTTAGTCAACTCAGCCATCCCTAGTCATCCCTAGTCATCCCTAGTCACCCCTAGTCATCATAGTCATCCTTAGTCATCCCTAGTCATCCTTAGTCACCCCTAGTCATCCCAGTCATCCCTAGTCATCCTAGTCATCCCTAGTCATTCCTAGTCATCCTTAGTCAACTCAGCCATCCCTAGTCATCCCTAGTCATCCCTAGTCATCTTAGTCATCCTTAGTCATCCCTAGTCATCCTTAGTCACCCCTAGTCATCCCAGTCATCCCTAGTCATCCTTAGTCATCCCAGTCATCCCTAGTTATCCCTGGTCATCCTTAGTCATCCCCAGTCATCCTTAGTCATCTTATTCGTTCCTGGTCATCCCTAGTCATCCCTAGTCATCCCAGTCATCCCTAGTCATCCCTAGTCATCCCAGTCATCCCTAGTCATCCCTTGTCATCCCTAGTCATCCCAGTCATCCCTGGTCATCCCAAGTCAGCCCAGTCATCCCTAGTCATCCCTAGTCATCCCTAGTCACCCTAGTCATCCCAGTCATCCCAGTCATCCCTAGTCATCCTTAGTCATCCCTAGTCATCCTAGTCATCCTAGTCATCCCTAGTCATCCCAGTCATCCCTAGTCATCCCTAGTCATCCTAGTCATCACTAGTCATCCCTAGTCATCCCCAGTGATCCTTAGTCATCCTACTCATACCTAGTCATCCCTAGACATCCCTAGTCTTCCCAGTCATCCCTAGTCATCCTTAGTCATCCTTAGTCATCCCTAGTGATCCCTAGTAATTCCTAGTCATCACTTGTCATCCCTAGTTATCCCTAGTCATCCCAGTCATCCTTAGTCATACCCTTTCATCGCTAGTCATCCCTAGTCTTCTCTAGTCATCCCTAGTCATCCCTAGTTATCCCAGTTATCCCTAGTCATACCTAGTCATCCCTAGGCATCCCAGTCATCCCTAGTCATCCTTAGTCATCCTTAGTCATCCCTAGCCACCCCAGTCATCCTTATTTATCCCTATTCAACCCAGTCATCCTTAGTCATCCCTGGTTACCCTAGTCATCCCCAGTCATCCTTAGTCTTCGTAGTGGTCCTTAGGCATCCCTAGTCATCCTTAGTTCCTCTAGTCGTCGCTAGTCGTCCCTAGTCTTCCCTAGTCATCCCAGTCATCCATAGTCATCCCTAGCCATCCCAGTCGTCTTAGTAATCCCTAGTCATCCCTAGTGATCCCAGTCATCTTTAGTCATCCCTAGTCATCCCTGGTCATCCCTAGTCATCCCAGTAATCCCTAGTCATCCCTAGTCATCCCTAGTCAGCCTAGTCATCCCTAGTCATCTCTAGTGATTCCAGTCATCCCTAGTCATCCCACTCATCCCTAGTCATTCTTAGTCATCCCTAGGGATGATTAGTCATCCTTAGTCATCCTTAGTTATCTGAAGTCATCCTTAGTCATCCCTGATCATCCCAGCCATCCCTAGTTATTGCTAGTAATCCCTAGTCACCCTAGTGATTCGTAGTCATCCCAGTCATCCTTAGTCATCCCTAGTCATCCCAGTCATCCCTAGTCATCCCTAGTCATCCCTAGGCATCCCAGTCATCCCTAGTCATCCTCAGTCATCCTTTGTCATCCTTAGCCATCCCAGTCATCCTTAGGTATCCCTAGTCATCCCAGTCATCCTTAGTGATCCCTGGTTATCCCTAGTGATCCCCAGTCATCCTTAGTCTTCGTAGTGGTTCCTAGGCATCCCTAGTCATCCTTAGTTCTCCTAGTCGTCGCTAGTTATCCCTAGTCATCCCTAGTCATCCCAGTCATCTTTAGTCATCCCTAGTCATCCCTGTCATCCCTAGTCATCCCTAGTCATCCCTGGTCATTCCTAGTCATCCCAGTTATCCCTAGTCATCCCTAGTCATCCCTAGTCAGCCTAGTCATCCCTAGTCATCACTACTCATCCCAGTCAACCCTAGTCATCCCACTCATCCCTAGTCATCCCTAGTCATCCCTAGGGATGATGAGTCATCTTTAGTCATCCTTAATCATCTGAAGTCATCCTTAGTCATCCCTGGTCATTCCAGCCATCCCTAGTTATCCCAGTCATCCCTACTCATCCCTAGTCATCGCTAGTAATCCCTAGTCACCCTAGTGGTTCGTAGTCATCCTAGTCATCCCTAGTCATCCCAGTCATCGCTAGTCATCCCTAGTCATCCCGGTCATCGCTAGTCATCCCTAGTCATCCTCAGTCATCCCTAGTCATCCTAGTCATCCCTAGTCATCCCTAGTTATCCCTTGTCAACTCAGCCATCCCTAGTCATTCCTAGTTCCCTAGTCATCCCTAGTCATCCCAGTTATTTCTAGTCATCCTAGTCATCCCTAGTCATCCCTACTCATCCTTAGTCAACTCAGCCGTCCCTAGTGATCCCTAGTTATCCCAGTCATCTCTAGTCATCCCTAGTCTTCCCTAGTCCTCCCAGTCGTCTTAGTTAACCCTAGTCATCCCAGTCATCCCTAGTCATCCCAGTCGTCTTAGTTATCCCTAGTCATCCCAGTCATTCTTAGTCATCCTATTCGTCTCTAGTCATCCCTAGTCATCCCTACTCTTCCCAGTCATCCCTAGTCATCCCTAGTCATCCCAGTCGTCTTAGTCATCCCTAGTCATCCCAAGTCATCCCACTCATACTTTGTCATGCCTAGTCATCCGTAGTAGTAGTAAATTTATTAAATCTCCAGCCAGTGGCTCTTCCGATTTAATTTACAATAATTGGAAATCGAATAAAAACGACTTATAAAACTTACAATAATATCATGATAAAAAATCCCTAGTCATCCCTAGTCATCCCGGTCATCCCTAGTCATCCCTAGTCATCCCAGTCAACCCTAGTCATCCCTAGTCATCCCTAGTCATCTCTGATCATCCCTAGTCATCCGTAGTCATCCCAGTAATCCCTAGTCATCCCTAGTCATTCCTAGTCATCCCTAGTCATCCCATTCATCCATAGTCTCCCTAGTCATCCTAGTCACCCTAGTCATCAATAGTCATCCTTAGTCATCCCTAGTTATCCCAGTCATCCCTAGTCATCCCATTCATCCCTAGTCATCCCTAGTCAGCTTAGTCATCCCTAGTCATTCCTAGGCATTCCTAGTCGGCCCTTGTCATCCCTAATCATCCCAGTCATCTTTAGTCATCCCTAGTAATCCCTAGTCATTCCAGTCATCCCTAGTCATCCCTAGTCATCCCTGGTCATCCCTAGTCATCCCAGTCATCCCCAGTCATCCCTAGTCATCACTAATCATCCCAGTCGTTTTAGTTATCCCTGGTCATCTCTAGTCATCCCAGTCATTCTTAGTTATCCTATTCGTCTCTAGTCATCCCTAGTCTTCCCAGTCATCCCTAGTCATCCCTAGTCATCCCAGTCGTCTGATTCATCCCTAGTGATCCCTATTTATCCCACTCATCCTTAATCATCCCTAGTCATCCCTAGTCGTCCCTAGTTATCCCTAGTCATGCCTAGTCTTCCCAGTCATCCCTATTCATCCCTAGTCATCCCAGTCATCTTAGTCATCCCTAGTCATCCCTAGTCATCCCAATAATCCTTTATCATCCTTAGTCATCCCTAGTCATCCCATTCATCCCTTGTCATCCCTTGTCATCCCTAGTCATCCCAGTGATCCCTAGTCAGCCCTAGTCATCCCTAGTCATCCCTTTCGTCTTAGGTATCCCTAGTCATCCCTTGTGATCTTTGCCATCCTTTATCATTCCTAGTTTTTTCTAGTCATTCCTGGTCATCCTAGTCTTCCCTAGTCATCCCTAGTCATCCCTTGTCAACTCAGCCGTCCCTAGTCATCCCTATTCATCCCAGTGATCCCTAGTCATTCGTAGTCATCCCAGACATCCCTGGTCATCCTAGTCATCGCTAGTGATCCCTAGTCATCCCTAGTCAATTCAGCCATCCGTAGTCATCCCTAGTCATCCCTAGTCATCCCAGTGATCCTTAGTGATCCCTAGTCATCCCTAGTCATCCCTAGTCATCCCAGTCGTATGAGTTATCCCTAGTTATCCCGTGTTATCTTAGTCATCCTTTGTCATCCCTAGTCATTTCGAGTCATCCCTAGTCGTCTTAGTCTTTCCTAGTCTTCCCTAGTCATCCCTTGTCAACTCAGCAATCCCTAGTCATCCCTATTCATCCCAGTCATCCCTAGTCATCCCTAGTCATCCCAGTCATCCTTAGTCATCCCTAGTCTTTCGTAGTCATCCCTAGTCATCCTAGTCTTCTCTAGTCATGCTTACTCATCCCTAGTCAACTCAGCCATCCCTAGTCATCCCTTTTCATCCCAGTCATCCCTATTCATCCCTAGTCATCCCAGTCATCCCTAGTCATCCCTATTCATCCCTAGTCATCCCTAGTCATTCTAGTCATCCCTAGTCATCTCTAGTCAACTCAGCCTACCCTAGTCATTCCTATTCATCCCTAGTCATCCCTAGTCATCATTAGTCATCCCATTCGTCTTAGTTATACCTACTCATCCCTAGCCATCCCAGTCTTCCTTAGTCATCCCTAGTCACCCCTAGTCATCTTAGTCATCCCTAGTCATCCTTAGTCATCCTTAGTCATCCCAGTCATCCTTAGTCATCCTAGTCGTCCCTTGTCATCCTTAGTCATCCTAGTCATCCCTAGTCATCCATGGTCATCCCTAGTCATCCCAGTCATCCCTTGTCATCCATAGTCATCCCAGTCGTCTTAGGTATCCTTATTCATCCCAGCTATTCTTAGTCATCCCAGTCATCCCTTGTCATCCTTAGTCATCCCAGTCATCCCTAGCCATGCCAGTCATCCCTAGTCATCCCAGTTGTCTTACTTATCCCTAGTCATCCCAGTCATCCTTAGTCATCCCTAGTCACCCCTAGTCATCCCTAGTCACCCCTAGTCATTTTAGTCATCCTTAGTCATACCAGTCATCCCTTGTCATCCTTAGTTATCCCAGTCCTCCCTAGTCATCCATGAACATCCCTAGTCATCCCAGTCGTCCCTAGTCATCCCTACCCAGCCCAGTCGTCTTAGTCATCCCAGTCATCCCTAGTCATCCCTAGTCATCCCTAGGCATCCCTGGTCATCCCTAGTCATCCCAGTCATCCCTAGTCATCCCTGGTCATCCCTAGTCATCCCCAGTCATCCTTAGTCATCCTAGTCGACCCTAGTCATCCCTAGTCTTCCCAGTCATCCCTAGTCATCCCTAGTCTTCCCTAGTCATCCCAGTCGTCTTAGTCATCCCTAGTCATCTCTAGTCATTCCACTCATTCTTAGTCATCTCAAGTCATCCCTAGTCATCCCAGTGAACCCTAGTCATCCCTAGTCATCCCAGTCATCCCTAGTTCTCCCTAGTCATCCATAGTCATCCCTGATCATCCCTATTCATCCCTAGTCATCCCAGTCATCCCTAGTCATCCCAGTCATCCCTAGTCATCCCTAGTCATCCCTGGTCATCCCAGTCATCCTTAGTCAGCCCTAGTCATCCCAGTCATTCCTAGTCATCCCTAGTCATCCCTAGTCATCCCTGGTCATCCCTAGTCATCCCAGTCATCCCTAGGCACCCCTAGTGAGCCTACTCATCCCTAGTCATCCTTAGTCATTCCAGTCATCCCTAGTTATCCTTAGTCATCCTTAGTCATCCATTGTCATCCCAGGTCTTCCCTAGTCATCCCTGGTCATCCCAGTCATCCCTAGTTATCCCAGTTATCCCTACTCATCCCTAGTCTTCGCTAGTCATCCCTAGTCACCCTAGTGATTCGTAGTCATCCGTGTCATCCCTAGTCATCCCTAGTCATCCCAGTCATCCCTAGTCATCCCTAGTTAACTCAGCCATCCCTAGTCATTCCTAGTCATCCGTAGTCATCTCTAGTCATCCCAGTCATCCCTAGTCAACTCAGCCATCCCTAGTCATTCCTAGTCTTCCCTAGTCATCCCTAGTCATCCCTTGTAATCCCTAGTCATCCCAGTGATCCCTAGTCATCCCTAGTCATCTGTTTCGTCTTAGTTATCCCTAGTCATCTCTTGGGAATTTAGTCATCCTTAGTCATTCCTAGTTTTTTCTAGTCATTCCTGGTCATCCTAGTCTTCCCTAGTCATCCCTAGTCATCCCTTGTCAACTCAGCGATTCCTAGTCATCCCTATTCATCCCAGTGATCCCTAGTTATTCGTAGTCATCCCAGTCATCCCTAGTCATCCTAGTCATCCCCAGTGATCCCTAGTCATCCCTAGTCAACTCAGCCATGCGTAGTCATCCCTAGTCATCCCTAGTCATCCCAGTCATCCCTAGTCATCCCTAGTCATCCCTATTCATCCCAGTCTTCTTAGTTATCCCTAGTCATCCCGAGTGATCTCAGTCATCCTTAGTCATCCCTAGTCATTTCTAGTCATCCCTAGTCATCCTAGTCTTCCCTAGTCATCCCTAGTCATCCCTTGTCAACTCGGCCATCCCTAGTCATCCCTATTTATCCCAGTTATCCCTAGTCATCCCTAGTCATTACAGTCATCCCTAGTCATCCCTAGTCATCCCTAATCGTCCTAGTCATCCCTAGTCATCCCTAGAAAGCTCAGCCATCCCTAGTCATTCCTAGTCATCCCTAGTGATCCCAGTCATGCTTAGTCATCGTAGTCATCTTTAGTCATCCCTAGTCAACTCAGCTATCCCTAGTGATCTGTAGTGATCCTTAGTCATCCCAGTCATCCTTAGTCATCCCTAGTTATCTTAGTTATCCCTAGTGATCCCTAGTCATCCCAGTCATCCTTAGTCATCCCTAGTCTTTCCTAGTCATCCCTAGTTCTTTTAGTCTTCTCTAGTCATGCCCAGTCATCCCTAGTCAACTCAGCCATCCCTAGTCTTTCCTTGTCATCTTAGTCATCCCTAGTCATCCCTAGTCATCCCAGTCATCCCTAGTCATCGCTAGTCATCCCTAGTCATTGTAGTCATCCCTAGTCATCCCTAGTCATCTCAAGTCAAGTCAGCCATCCCTAGTCATTCCTAGTCATCCCTAGTCATCCCAGTCATCCCTAGTGATCCTAGTCATCTCTAGTCATCCCTAGTCATCCTTAATCATCCCTAGTCAACTCAGCCATCTCTAGTCATCCCTAGTCATCCCAGTCTTGTCTAGTCATCCCTAGTCAGCCCTAGTCATCCCATTCGTCTTAGTTATCCCTAGTCATCCCAGTCTTCCTTAGTCATCCCCAGTCACCGCTAGTCATCTTAGTCATCGCTAGTCTTCCTTAAGCATCCTTGGTCATCCCTACTCATCCCAGTCATTCCTAGTCATCCATAGTCATCCCAGTCATTCCTAGTCATCCCTAGTCATCCCCAGTCATCCTTAGTTATCCTAGTCGTCCCTTGTCATCCTTAGTCATCCTAGTCATCCCTAGTCATCCATGGTCATCCCTAGTCATCCCAGTCATCCCTAGTCATCCCAGTCGTCTTTGTTATCCTTATTTATCTCAGCTATCCTTAGTCATCCCAGTCATCCCTTGTCATCCTTAGTCATCCCAGTCATCCGTAGTCATCCATGGTCATCCCTAGTCATCCCAGTCATCCCTAGTAATCCCAGTCGTCTTACTTATCCCTAATCATCCCAGTCATCCTTAGTCATCCCAGTCATCCCTTGTCATCCTTAGTCATCCCAGTCATCCCTAGTCATCCATGGACATCCCTAGTCATCCCAGTCGTCCCTAGTCATCCCTACCCATCCCAGTCGTCTTAGTCATCCCAGTCATCCCTAGTCATCCCTAGTGATCCCTTGTCATCCCAGTGAACCCTAGTCATCCCTAGTCATCCCTAGTCATCCCAGTCATCCCTAGTCATCCCTAGTCATCCCAGTCATCCCTAGTCATCCCTAGTCATCCCTGGTCATCCCTAGTCATCCCAGTCATCCCTAGTCATCCCTGGTCATCCCTAGTCATCCTTAGTCATCCTAGTCAACCCTAGTCATCCTTAGTCTTCCCAGTCATCCCTAGTGATCCGTAGTCTTCCCTAGTCATCCCAGTCGTCTTAGTCATCCCTAGTCATCCCTAGTCATCCCATTCATTCTTAGTCATCTCTAGTCATCCCAGTGAACCCTAGTCATCCGTAGTCATCCCTAGTCATCCTTAGTCATCGTAGTCAATCCTAGTCATCCCTAGTCTTCCCAGTCATTCCTAGTCATCCCTAGTCTTCCCTAGTCATCCCAGTCGTCTTAGTCATCCCTAGTCATCCCTAGTCATCCCACTCATTCTTAGTCATCTCTAGTCATCCCTAGTCATCCCAGTGAACTCTAGTCATCCCTAGTCATCCCTAGTCATCCCAGTCATCCCGAGTCATCCCTAGTCATCCTAGTCATCCCTAGTCATCCCTAGTCATCCCAGTCATCCTTAGTCATTCCTAGTCATCTTAGTCATCCCTAGTCATCCCTAGTCATCCCTAGTCATCCCTGGTCATCCCTAGTTATCCCAGTCATCCCTAGTCATCCCTAGTGAGCCTAGTCATCGCTAGGCATCCTTAGTCATCCCAGTCAGCCCTAGTTATCCCTAGTCATCCTTAGTCATCCTTAGTCATCCATTGTCATCCCTAGTCATCCCTGGTCATCCCAGTCATTTCTAGTTATCTCAGTCATCCCTATTCATCCCTAGTCATCGCTAGTCATCCCTAGTCACCCTAGTGATTCGTAGTCATCCCTTTCATCCCTAGTCATCCCTAGTCATCTCAATCAGCCCTAGTCTTGCCCCGTCATCCATGTCATCCTTCGTCATTTTCATTCGTGCGTAGTCCTCTTTGTCGTTCCTAGTTAACCCAGTCATCCGTAGTGCTCTCTAGTCATGCTAGTCATCCGTAGTCATCCCTTGTCATCTATAGTCTTTCCCAGTCATCCCTAGTCATCCCTATTCATTCTTAGTCATCCTAGTCGTCCCTAGTGGTCCCCTACTTAATCGTAGTCATACCAGTCATCTCTAGTCTTTTTTAGTTATCTCATTCATCCCTAGTCATCCCTAGTCATCCCTAGTCATCCTTAGTCCCTAGTCTTCGCTGTCATCCCTAGTAATTCCGGTCATCCCTAGTCATCTCGGAGGGTTATCATTAAGAGCCGGGGACCGGGGATTTTTCCCAGCTACTAAGATAGTGCGTGCGGCTACTTTTATTGGAAAATAGAAGAAAAATAGCCGTTTGTTTCCCCGCCTCCTATTTTTATTTACCCGGCAACTTGAAATCTTTTCCAAAATTACCCCATTATTTACCGACTGTTGCTACAACAGCCAGTTTCCCCTGTCATCAAGTTGGCCATTATGCATAGAGGCCTTCTAATTCTTGTTGTACACGTTTTCTAGGATCAGTCAGAAATGAAATTACCAGGGTTCAGGTTGTGGTGTGAGAAAAGCAAAAAGAAGATGCAGTTTCCTCTAAAAAGGTGTGTTGATGCTTGAACTGTAAATCAAATACTGACATGTCATTTCATGTAAATTACTACCAATTATTACCGTTTTCTAAGTTGATAACAGTCAACCCTATCAAAGACATCACATGTTTGGGACCAGCAAGCTACAGTAATTGTGACTAAAGAAAGGCAGGAACCACTTCTTGGTGTCCGTTTTAATGACGTGTCTATCTTAAGGAGGTGTATCTTTGACTGTTTAGGATTTACAAGGTACAAAATGTACAAAGCATCAAATCTTAAAATAAATGTTCTTTGTTTTCTGTTCTGTTTTCTAAACAGACAGAGGAAATCTTCCACCGAAGATCGGAATTCTGATCTCTACATCGGCCAAGAGATAACTATCCTGTGCAAAGTGCAGAAGCACTCGGTTCCTCTACACATGTTTGTGCCTGTAAAGATGGAGTTGTATCCTATTGCTTATCAATTCTACTTTAAGGGATTTTAGTGGAGGAAACTCTGATTTAAATCATCCTACTGTAACTTGTGGTTCCCTTTTGCTTTTAACTAGGCTATTTACCGTCCTTCTATATTCTTTTTAGAGCCCTGGGTTGGTTTTGATGTAAACTGCTAAGGCTTGATGATAGACTAAAACTAAAAATGATGTCTATCAGACTTTGCATCTTTGGTGCCCACCTCCCCCGTCTTATCTTCTTTATTTTATGAAACAGTTTTTTTTTCCAGAATAATATTTATTATGTTCTACAGTTTCATTAGCAGGTTTGAATGAGGAAAAAGGGGTGGGGAGAATCCTTTTCCTGAGGGTCAGCTAGAAGGCTAATTTTGGTGGACTTTATGTCTGCAAATTGCAAAGAAAATCCTTAGCTTCATCTGTTTACAGAAAACTGGCGTGTTGTTCTATCAAAACGTCTGCTAGGATTGTCCAATGGCTCTCTTTTGAGGTCAACAAGGTCAGTATTTCATGTCTCTGTAACAAAAATAGCTAAGCCTAAAGATGGAGTTTCTCATTTAGAAATTGAACCAAGTCTCTCTTGATAAAACTTGAGCTGAGCCTGCCGTCCGGTTACTTTTGCCAACTGGGGCCCACAAAACTAAAAGTTAGCAAAGAAATTACGTCAGAATGACAGCTTCTTGATAAATACAGTTGTACTGTGCGTGAGTCTCTCTAGCGTTACAACAAGCGTTACGCAATATTATTTTATTATTATTATTATTGTTATTATTATTATTATTAGGTTTACTTTCACAAACTCTAACTACAATCCGTTTAAATAATCTTTCGCTCGATGTGTTATACACCTACATATGTACCGTTTTGTAGATTTGGCTAAATTGCGTGCTCCTCTTCAACAAAGTAAGGCCCCCAAGTCTTATATATCATTTTAAAATATTTTTCTAACTTTGAATGTGTTTACAGGATGTTGCCTTCATTGGACGGTTAAAACTCACCCAGCCAACCAACACCCACCTAAAAGAAAAGAGCAAGGAAGCTTGGTTCAACTTTGTCAAAGCCGAAAGCTACTCAGGTGTGTTGTTTTTAAAAGACATGTAAAGGCCTGTTACTTTAGGCAATTCCTCGTGAAGCTTGTTTGCTATTTTGTCACATTACAAGTTGCTTAAAAATTTACCGTGCTTATTATCTGGCAATTTTGTTACACAGTTGCAAGTTACGTTTAAAGAGATTTTGCTCCGGCCACAAATGTCGTGTTGCACTGGGCAGTTTTCTTGTAATTTGTATTTGTAATTTTGCTGCATCTAAGAATTTTTCCATGGCGTTGTTGTCATGGTTTCCTAACTTCCGTATTTTGGGGGATTTCAGCTGCACTCAGTGAAACCAACGCTGGAGAGGAAGACAAAGATGACTACAGTAATCGACTCTGTCTCATTTGTGGTGGTGCTGAAAACGGCCTGAATGTCTTCGTTTTGAGGGCGCCCGAACATTTGAATGGAAGGATACAGCATGATTTGGCTACAGTGCATTCTTCAGTGCTCATTATAAACGATCAAGAAGGTGAACAAAATACCCCCTCCACACCCCACCCCTTCAGTGCCTTCATTAGTTTTTTTAAAGCAATTTTTCTTTGCTAAGCATGTACATACATTCTTCGGTGCCCGCCATTATAAATGATCAAAACGGTAAAAAAAAAATAGGATAATTTTATGTTTCTGTGAAACTGCCCACCTACCCCTCCCCTAAACCAACATTAACACTTAGTTCTTACTTAGGGCAAAATGTGGATTAGGGGAGGGGTATGTGGGCAGTTTCCCAGAAACGTAAGAAAATACCCTCTCCCCACCCCACCCCACCTCATCATCCCTTTCATACGTCACTTCCACATTTCCCATAATGCGCCTTATTTGCCTCCCAAAGTTTTGCATAACCTTTGTTTTTCATTTCTCCTGATTATTAGGGCCGTCCCACGAAAAATTGAAAACTATGCTCATGCAAAAATGTGGGGGGCAAATAAGGTGCATTATGGGAAACGTGGAAGTGACGTATTAGTTGTTTTTAAGCAACATTTCTTCGGTTGACCAGTTTTTCAATGATGCGGACAACTTTCCTGTCAAGACCTTCTTACTCATTCTGGCTAAAAGTTTGGGAATACAATAACTCAAATTGCGTTTGATTTATTTTTCGAATACTCACATAGGAGGACACATTTCATAAAACTTATACCCATGTAAAAAGTTACACAGACTGTTCAAGTTGTCACTGGACGGAGAATAGGCGTTTTGTGGGCAAAGAATTTTTAGCTAATATCTTACCCTCCTCAAAAATGCTTGTGCATGTAATGTTTTTGTATCTTGTTTGTAGTTGGAGGACCTTTACGATTTCTTGACCTCGAAGATAGCTTCTTTGAAACAGAACAGAAATTAACTGAAATTCTGCTCTGCATGTTACAACAGGAGCTGGGTGAGTATTGCTTTGTTTCCTGTTTTCCTTTTTTCTTCACGCACCTTTATTAATCAGGGGCTTCATCAAGTACAGTAATGGGGGGATGGGGGAGGAGGGGTGTAATAGGTGGGTCCCCAAGATTTCCTTACTTTGACGTATTCCAATACGTTAACTGCGGAGAAAGGTACGATATTCGCAGTACACGGGAACCAAGGTTCTACAAAGGGGTCTTCAATCCCGTCATCCCGATCCAAATTTTCGCTCAGTCCCGTAGTCCCGTAATCCCGATGGTTATTTTTCGCATCCCGCACCCCGTTCATTCTTTCAATCCCGAAGTTCGTTCCCATTTGCTATCGGCTTTTTAAATAAGACAATTCCGGATCCCGATAAAAGCCTCGCGGAGACCCTCAGCACCGGTCACCGGGTTCGTCGCATGAACAGTTCGATGTTTGTCCTAGGGGTTACTTAGAAGCTGATATTCGTCAAAGGGGAAGAGAATGTTTTCTTTCAATTTCCGAATACTGAGCTATCACCAATTTCTCCAACGTGGCCACTTACGCTTAATCGTAACCATTCTCTTACAGAAAATCATTTTGTTACCAGTCATTCAAAAGTGTTCGTGATGCTATAATATTCTTTCAGGCGATTCCACTTCCGATGATCAGGTTATACTTGACGCTTCCTCTAAGGTTTTGGACCAGTTAGTCTCCGCAAAGGTGAAGTTACTAAAGGAAAAAAGGTAACTCTCGATACGATTAACTGCATTGATTTGTTCTTTGTAAAACTAAAAAAAGGGGAAAAAAAGGAATCAGAAGTTTCTCTTCCTTTGTGGCTTGCCAGGTGTTGTGAAAGGGATCAGTAAATACATGGGTGCCCCTCCACGGCCGATGGAATCGGTGGGTGAAGGAGTAGAGGGCGTGTGCGGGGGAATGATGAAAGTATAAAATGAACGTAAAATGGGGGGATTATGGTTAAGCATGGTTACTGGGGGACTAACAAACTGCACTCCAGTAGGCCACTTCGGAGTTCCAAAATCCCTTATTTTTAAAATGAGGCCAAGTGACGATCTTTCTTGTGAAAATGAGTTTTGTTTCCATTAGAATGAAAAATCATTTTCATATCCAAGGCTATCACTGACCTCGTTTTGATACAGAGGCCCAGGGGAACTCGGCGTGTTAAGCCCTTATTACCATCGCGTAAATATACACTATACACAGGTAGCGGAACTGAATAATTAGGAGCAACGACTAGATTCCATTGAGACAGAAGTGCCGAAGACTGAGATTTAGTTCGCCAAATCCTATTAGACAACCGCTACGGTATGATTTGCTTTTCGTGTCGGCACGAAAAGCCATCCGGTAAAGTAGGAACATAGTGTAAATTCTGTAGGTGCACTTTGCCCTATTCATATTTTCTTGTCCTATTTAACGTCCTAATTAATGCAAAAATCAGTGTAATTTCTTTTATGTTTTCGTAACTTATTTGCTGGGATTTTTATTGCAGAGAGCAGTTGCTGCAAGCGGGAAAAGAAAATGAACTTGACGTCGTTAGAAGAGATTCATTACTCCATGATGAAAGAGGTAATGATGCAAGATACTTTCAAAACCAGAAAATTTCTGTATATTTATTTTTCTGATCTCACTGCTAAATGCAACAACTGACAGTATCCAAGTGAATTTGCTTCTACTTGACGGGGCGATCTTCAGATAATATATCCCTTTCTGGTATTTAAAGGAAAGACTGTTCACACTAAGGGAGAAAATTGCAACAAGTTAAAGCTTTTCCTGTGGAGACTGTGGGAGTGCATTGTTTCTGCAGCTCCCGCGCTGGTTAACTACCTCATCCAAATACTGTATTTCGATAATCGTGCGGCGCAGATATAGGGCCAATAACTCCTCGCAATAATTTTGTGTTCGTGTTAAATCGACTTCCAAATCTGTTCGCCAGACGACCTGAGGTAACCCGTCCCCTCCCTGCAGAAATCGCCCCCATAGAAGCGGGGGCGGAGGGGGTGGTGGGATACGCAAAACCCTCTGGGAGTTCCGTTCGCCATTTTGTCTTTCTTCGACATAGATGGAAGGTTATTCTTGATTGAACGTTGCCCTAACGGGCAGCCCAATAATAAAGCACAAAACAAAAAACGTGTGCCCAGTGCCATGGGGCGATGTGTAACCGGTTTGAAGCGCAGGGAAACTTATAGCAGGGTTAAATAGCTGGAGAGCCATGGTGGAATGGAAGATTGTTAAGTGCGGTAAAGCGCGCAACTGGTGCCCGCTTGCGGGGAAATATGCAAACTGTTATCGCAACTTGTGCAGCTGGTGCCAAAGTTGGGAAAATATGGACCTCGTGTCATCAAGGAGGGGGAAAAAATAATGCAACAATTCGCCACTTTGAGGTTGCGCGGGAGACCAGGTCGAGATGGTGGTCAAGTGCATTGTGGGACCGTTTTGGGGGACGCATTTTCATTGTGGCGTCGAAATTGTCCCCCAAAACAGTCCCACAATGCACTTTGACAACCGTCTCGACCCAGTCTCCCACGCAACCTCAAAGTGGCGAATAGTCTCAGACACTGGGGATGGTGCACTAACTGATTAAGATGTAAGGGCCTTCGTTCTTTATTTAACGTGGTCCGGGTTTAATCCCGGCGTCAATGCCATGTGTGAGTTGAGTTTGTTGTTGGTTCTCTTCCTTGCTCCGATAGGATTTTCTCAGGGTACTCCGGTTTCCCCCTCTCCTCAAAAACCAAAATTCGATCAGGAAAGGTAGACAAAGAACCTTTATGTGGATGTGCTGCCTTCAAATCGTTATTTACTTATTTAGAATGAGTTCTTATCTCGTTAAATGATTTTTTTCTTTCCAGCTTTTCTGGTTGTTGTCTTTTTGTTTTTGCCGTTGCCGTTTTCTCTTAATTCACAGTTTTCGCTTTCTTTTTCTTTTTCCTTACATGTTACAAATTAGAGTCGTTGATGTCTCCCAGCAGATGGCCTGAGAGGGCGTGGCTTATCAAAAACGATCCAAATGCAGTGTGAGTGCTTCTTAACAAACTTCTTGCTACCGTATCTGAGAGTAACATAAACTCAAGCAGGGTGTTTGCGGAAAGAGTCTTTCACTCTGTTTAATTTTCTTTCGGATCATTTTACGTTTCTGGGAAACTGCCGACCTACCCCTCCCCTAAGCAAACACTTACTATACTTTTCACTTAGGGCAAAATGTTGGCTTAGGGGAAATTAGGTAGTCAGTTTCCTATAAACGTATAGTGATCCTAATTTTCTACTCTTCGCCAAGTGCGTTCATGATTTTCCTCTTGTTTTTAACAGGGTTAAAGATGCAACTGCGAAGGACTCCACGTTGTTAGCTTCAGGTGTGTAATTGTTGATTTTTTTTATTACGCGACCTAAGAGGATCGTTCGCATGCGACATTGTTGGATTGTTTTGGGTCCATTTGAACTCTCCTAATTTCAACCTGATCCAACATGTTCAAAACGGACCCAACCGCCATAACATGTGACGTCCAAGTGTCGAACAATGTTTAATGAAGTTAGTCCATCTTGTTGGATGCCTTCGGCCAGTGAATTTCAACAACTTCCTAACATTTCTTCAACCTTAATGATATTAATAAGGACAACCGCAGATCTGAAATAAACGTTTCATTTCTACTTACTCTCGTGTATTTCAAAACACTCCTTAGGGCCTGTTACCCAGATGGGTGAGGTAACATGTGGCGGGTTACCCCACCTATCATGTACAAACGTGATCAAATTAAAATGAGAGATTATATGGGCAGGCGGGTTACCTCACCTACCTGGGGTTCCCCACCTCCATGTAAACAGGCCATAACTCCAGTGTCATGGCGCGGGTGGGGGTTAATCCCATATATGCGCTAGATAGGTATGTGCCTCCCTATAGGGTATGGTTTTTGAGTGTCTCGAACCTTACTAGGGTACCGATTTTGCCCTTGTTGGTATTGCGTTCCTGGTCTGATCCTTAGGTTGAGTACCTAAATTGTATCAGTCATCAAATTGTTAGTCTTGTTTTTTCCCTTGAATGGGGTCTCATTTTTTGTATCAGGCTTGGGCCTTTGATAGAGTGTAAATTTTCGTTTGTCTCATCCTTAAACAGTGTCAGGTTTTAAGACCTGGGCGACACACACCTATCCGCTATTTATGGGAGTACCTTCCCCACCCCTCGTGTTTTATTCGTATCTTCTTAACCAATAAAGTCTCTTTTTACTCTGTTTTTCATGTGCCTCTATTCGGACTAAAGTGACAACAATGAGTGTTCACGATATCTTGGAGAAATTCCGCTTGGATGGGACTGCTGTGGCCAGCAATCTAAGCCCTGTGAAACCACGGGTAAGCTGTGCATGGTGGTAGTGTTTCCGTGAAGTATCCGTGCTGTAAACTTACGTTAACTATGGTAGCCTCTTAGAGATGTCTTGTGCCCGACGGTCGGCCTTGTAGGCAATCACAAAATCTCAGCAGTTTGGGCGGTCGCTTATGATAAGTTGTAAAATGTTCAGGTGATACCCATGCTTATCAAGTTCGTGTTCTGTGCTTCACTTTTAGGAGAGAGGATTACTTGATAGGCACATAGAAATAGGCGCAAAAAGAGGTAAGGACAGTGAATGTTTTTGTTCGTAGACGACCCTATAAACGGCTTCCCCTTTTAACCAATCAAGAAACCAAACCAATCACGACTTCCTCCAACGAGTTTCTCGCGCTTTTCCGGGGCTGCATCAACCTCGTTTTCGGGCTCTTCCCGTGAACGAGGCTGTTGCTGCATGCAAGTCCTTCACCAAACATTTTCTGTTGTTAGCTTTTGGTGCGTAATTTTTTATTTGGATTTGTTTTGTTTTTGCGAAAAATTTATTGACAGTGTCATTTGTGATTGATCTGAGTGAAAAAAAACCTTCGCTTTAATGATACAAAGTCAATCAAAAAACTCCCGCAAATATTTATCGTTAAATTCCGGTCTCTCTGTCTCTCTGTCCCTCTCTCTAGATTTAGATGTTAGGGAAAGAAGATACCCAGATGCCCTTACGGCGTCCTACCATGGAATTGAGTAAGTTTTTCTCTCGTAACATTTGATCTCTTCTTTCAGCCACTGTCTCGAATCACAAGCTGATTTAGCTGTTAATTTTTTCTAATAAACAATTCTTAGATGAAGATGAGTGTGATAGTTATGAAAAATTACGCTGATTTACTAGCCATGAGTGAGCTTACACAAAAGGACGGCAAAACCTTTTTTTTGTAACCAACGTGACAGGGCTATTACTTGCATGTTTTGTCGTGACCTTCAGTTAACATCACTATATTTTGGTCTTTTACAAAAAGGTCTGCTTATAAAAGGTGAAGTTTGGCGGAATACTTTTTCAAACGTAATTGTTGTCACGCTTGTCACACAATGTTTGCCGTCTTCTTTCCTCTGCCGTAATTGTGCGTAAGTTCACTATTTTCACTATTTTCAGCTCCGTGCTGCCAAAACAGCTGAGCCGCCGAGCCCCTCACATTTTGTTGCGTCAAAAATTTGTACGACTGACGTCAAACGTCCAATAACTTGTCTATTATTGCGCGAGTGACGAAATTATTTAAATGTGGTCAGCTTTATCATGTTACGTAGCAATGGATGAGGGATTTAGTCAAACAAAAACTTAGAAATGTTTTGAATAAGCAACAAATTTGGTCTCACCACACTGATTTGAAATTTCGCAATGAATAGGGCACTTCGGAGTTGCCCAAAACCTCGGTTTCAAAGCGAGTCTTAGTGCAAAGCCATTCATATGAAAATGAGTTTTTGTTCTCATGCAAACTCATTTTCACAAGAAAGGTTCGTTTCACAAAGCCTCGTTTTGGAAGTGCAAGTCTTTGGAACAGCCATGTGATAAAACATGCCATTAAAGAAAAAAACACAACATAGTAATTCTAATTCAAATATTTTTTTTGTCTCAGATATTGCCTGGATAATCGTGATGCCATCACCAAAGATTCACAACTCTCCTCTCTCCAATCTTCGCATGTTAAATTCGAGACATTGTCAACGTGCGTACAAAGAGACCACAGGCCGCTAGAAACACGCTCCACTCGAGCTGTAACCAAAGCTGCGAGAAATGACACGAAGCAAAGTCTTATGAAGCTTAGCGTACCTTTGATGAGAACAAAAGCGGCGGGAAAAGGCAAAAGACCTGCTGCTGGGGAAAGGTAAGAAAAGTGTATATACAACAAAGTAGCTCCCCCGAGAAGTAGAGTCAATGAAAATGCATTATGCACAATTGTAAAGGACTTTGCAGTCTGGGCCAATTCTGACAAAGACATTGATTAAGACCGTCAATCTCAGGGAAACGCTGATCTTGTGTTGCACGTTTCCCAAAGACTACAGGAGGTAGAATGGGTTGGGGGGCGGGGGGAAGGTTCGTCTGTTTTACTTTTGAGCAGACCCTTCTTTAACTCTTTCCTCAGTTTAGAGGGAAAAAATCATTTCTCGCTTATTTAGTAAGAAACCAGGAAGGCCCTGCTCATAAGGTATCGCTGATTGAGCCAGGTGACATTTAATATTAATTGCCTGACACAATGCTCTTTTTGTGCGCAAGCGTGATAAATAGGCCATTTCCGAGTTCACCCAGGCCTCTGTATCAAAACGAGGTTAAGTGCGCAGTCTTTAATATGGAAATGAATTTTCATCCTCATGCAAATAAAACTCATTTTCACCAGAAAGGTTGTGCACTTGATCTCATTTTGAAAGTGAGGATTTTGCGAACTCGGAAGTGGCCTATTCATGTTCGTGTTGGGATTAATATTGCAGGAAAAATCGCAGCGTTAGAATCTGCTGCCTCTACATCAACAAGCACAATACTGAAATACCATTGTGTGCCGCCATCTGCGACATTGCTGGAAAAGTCAAATTTTTCATTCATTTTTTACCACTTACCGGAAACGTTGCCCTTTGCTCGCTCGGTAACCACTGTGCCGTTGCAGCGTGTAATCCCATCGAGCAAAACATGTTGGGCGCACTATTACTAGCAAGGCTGCAATCTGTATCCGAGTCTTTACTCTTTAGTGGACGAGCTGTATATGAAGCCATATCTTAATGACGTTATGTTTGTCGTGAGTCACTGTTGAAAAGTATATATCAATTGCGTTTTTCCCCAAGGCCTATCAAAAGAAAATCACCAGTGGTAAGAAAACCAGCTGTCGCAGCAAAAAGGAAACGACAAGAGTCATCTGCTGAAGGTCTGTCCATAAATTTGATGTGTTTACGATTTGTGTTCTTGCTTGTTTGGTTGCTTTGATTTTAGCCTCTCTGACGGGCGAATTGCTGTATTTCCCTTTGCCTACAAACATATCTTGAATGCCTAGACTCAACACGTAGCACGCGCAAGTAGCCAGCGAGAGAAGAGAACATAATGAGCAGTAAGAGTAAGCTTCCTTGCGCGTGTCTTCCTTTCTTGCACGCGTGCCTGTTACCCAGGCCTCTTACGGTCTAAGAACCGGAGATGAATAGAAGGATTGTTTTCGTTGTGTGTGATGTATTTGGCCTGATTTGGATGAGGACTCTGCTGTAGCCTGCGTAGCAGGCGCCGGATTCTTTTTAGGACGAAGGGAACAATTTCTAGGGCGTGCGCGCACGGGAGGGTAGAAAAGGAGAAGAGGCTTCTCTCCTCCTCGCGTGTTCCCCTCGCGCGCTCTATAACGACGAACCAAAAACTAACAGGCGCCTGCCACGCAGGCAAACTCCGCTGCGAATAATATATCGATGTTTGAAGCTCAACTGGTAGAACAGCGACTTATTTGTAAATTGCTTCAATTTTAGAAGCCAAACCTCACCAGAACACGCAAGAAGATACGAAAAAAGAAACGCGATCGGAAAGACACAAACGAGTGAGTACTTATAGAACACTGTTAAAAAGTATAATTTCATGTCCAGGATTTTCCTGTCGATTTTAGGCTAAAAATATCGTTGTGTCCAGTCTTCGATTACAGATAACAGTGTTAAGTATTTCAGTTAAATAAAACGTTTTATGACCTTAGTTTTGCGTATGCATGCTTTTCTTTATTTTCTATAAGGATTTAACGCCATCTTAACTTCGATTCAACAGCGCCTGCGTCAAGTTGTGCAGAAAACTCTCCAAGACAACGGGATTGATTCTAATCACGCATTCTACCATCCCTGCACCGAGAGACTATATTCGCTCTGCAAGAGCTTTCTGAAGGTAAAGTTCCTTAAAAATTTCCCCGGCCAGTTTTTACAACCAACCAACACTGACGTATATTGTTTTTTTACTACACAGTTGATGCCAAGGCTTGTAATTAACTTCTTTTTTTTTCAGGACCTTCGTTCCTCTCACGGCCTGAATGATGAAATGAAGAGATTAGCATCAAGTAATGTTCAACAGGTACAAACTTTACTTCGTTTTCAGTTGTGTGGTAATGTGTGGGTTAGTTGATCTGGATCGAATGGTTAGCGCTAATGGGGAGGGGTGGAGGTTATTTTTTTTTACCATTATTTCAGTTTCTTTTCTACCATATTTTTTTCCCTTCCCACCGCTGCAGTGAAATGGACAACCCTGCGTTTGGGCAGCCCCATTCCCAAAACGCTAGTGATATAGGCAGCCCCTTCTCATATTACCTTAGCGATTTGGGTAAGGGTTAGGGTTACAGGGGATGCCCATATTACACCGCCCCTTCTATTTTTGTTCAGGGAAAATCCCTGGCGACGAGGTTGTTTTTAGAGCATCCAATCATCAATTCGCCACTTAAGAATTGAGAAGAAAACTGGACCGAGTTATGTTTCGCAGAGACTTCTGGGACTGTTAGAAAAGTATTTAAGAAATTATTGGCCAATAGCTGACCGCAGCGTCCCTAGTAACCATCTCAGAAGTCTTTGCGTTAGTTAACTCGGCCAAGTTTTCTTCTCATTTCTCAGGTGGCGAATTTATAGACAAAAAGAATTTTTAAGCTTTCGTGTCTGAATTCAAATTTCATACAATGCCTCGGTTATCCGAACCCAGCTTTGAACCTCCAGGCCCACAACATTATCAGCTATTCTCTCACGAAACGCTTTTTCGTGCTATATGGCACAGTCTTAAGATCATTCGCCTGCCATCAATAGACCTCTTTACCTTGTATGTTTTCCTCTCCCAATAAAGTTCTTGGGGGGATTTGCTCCCCTATTGATACATTAAGTGTGCATAATGCACGGAATTAAGACGAAGTTTGAATGAAACAGTTCTCTAGAGTAGAGCATTATCACGTGACCTCCATTGGCCAGGGCTGGAAACCCCGCAAGGGATGCCATACATGGGATGAATTCTTTGCAGGTTTTCCCTCTTTCTCCGAGAGGTTTTCTTCGGGTACTCCGGTTTTCCCCTCTCCTTATAACCCATCGCTTCCAAACTCCAATACGATAAGGAACGCACGAACACCTCGAAAGAGTCCTAACTGCTTCGTAGGTAACCAACAATTATTTAAGTGTTTTTGCCTGCGGAATGAACGTGATTTGCCGATCAGCCTTGTGTTTTCCTTGCCCTAATCTGCCAATCCAAGTAACTAAACGCTCAAGGAAATCAGTTATAAAGTGGCTACAGACTGGCCCAGTGCTACTGCCATATTTTAAGAGACATTTAAATTTTCTCTCACAGGTGATCGAGTTCGAGACAAAGAGAACATCAGCTACACAAAAGACAACTTAAGAACTTAAGTAACTGTTAAATTCCTCCATTGTTTTGTATTGGAAATTTTACATCTCACCCCATTTTGTATTAAAATAAAGTTTTCTTTTTTCAAAGTTGTCTTGGTTTCGTAGTCATTACATTACTATAACCTAGCTTCGAGCAAACAATGGCCGCGGAAATGCTGATGAAACGCATTTTCCTGGCCTATTTTGCCTGAAATAAAAAGATGGAAAAATTGTAAATTTTGGACCACAACCATTTAACCTCTTGTTTTATACTCTAAAAAGGCGTTTTTCCTTTCTAGAATGTCGTGAAACGTATTTTCCTGGCCTATTTTCTCTCAAATAAAAAAATGGAAAAAAATTTCAAATTGCTAACAAGAACCATGGACTAACCCCTTTCGAAAAATTCCCAATTTTTCATCTTTTTTAACTTCTTGTTTTTATGGTCTAAAAAGACGTTTTTTTTCTTTCTAGAATACTGCGAAACGCATTATCCTGGCCTGTTTTGCCTTAAGAAAAATTCCTATTCTTCGACCTTTTTATCTTCTTTTTTATATATATA